TGTTCAAATGACAGACGCAAAGCTTGGCACTTAATGTCAACATATTCCTTATAGAAATGATTTTATTAATTAATCGAAGGTAAACCCATGTTGCCTTCGACTTAAAGATCTTTAATCACTTTTAGTTTGAGTAAATTTACAATCCTCACATTCACATGCGAAATAATTAATGTTTTCAGTCAAATGAGATATATCATATCAAACGTCCAATAATTCAAAATAGCATCAGTTTAAAAGTTTACCATATATTTAAAAATAATATGGTTATTTGAAAAATAGCTACGTCAATTTATGCGGATAATTTACACACTATTCATTTGAATAAATAAGATTTCCATGAAGATTTTATATATCTATGTCTAGCAAATGACTACACATATTCGTATAAAATTCAACTTCAAAATATTTAGCTTATTGCCGAAAATTCTGAATTAACTAGTAATATTTATAAGTCATTAATGAAGCGTGTAAATTTGCTTCTCTTTTTAATAATGCGGAATGTTATTTTTAAAAATCAATATTCAGATTATTGTTATTGATTGAGATGAGTTACATCTAAATAGTTTCTGCTTCGATTATTTTCTCTTAGACCAATTTGTGTGATTCGCGAGGTCATAAAGTTTAGATCGAGTGACTAATTAAATTTGCTACAGTTTGCAAAGTCCTAATCATCATATCATACAAATATGCTTAGATACATGCCTGTTTGTATTCAGCTCATTGCCAGACCGCAACAAGGTCCGTTAGCAGCTTAGCTGTTCTAATGCCATACAAACAAAGACTTGCCTCCAATCAACGTTAATAGCAATCGTGCTCATATCTCAAAGTGCTTAGAAAACCAAAAGCCAAAATGCTCAAATATCCACACACACACACACACACACACTCAATGCTGGCAGACACACAATCCAGCACCAAGTTGGGTGTTACGGTTTTGCAGATACGAGAGATACTCCCACACACACACACAAACTCAGACAGACTCCCACACAGAGACAAAACTATTAATTAATTTCCTTGGCATAGGCACTGCAGGCCATAGAAATTGACATGGGCGCGGGGCACGGGGCATAGGGCATGACTACCGCATGCCGTTGACATTTGAGTCAAAGGCAAAGCCAATACTCAACCAATTGGAATTGCAGGAGATCAGTGTGCCAACGTATATAGATACTTACTGACAACGACAATGACACCAGATGAAAGTGCCACTCAAAAATCTGATTAATTGATAAGATAATCTCATATGGACGGCCATAGAAATATCGTGAAATGCCTTAAACTTTAACTTGTAGAGTTCAATCCAAATAATCTCGAATGCAGCAATGCTTTATGCTCAGATGTCATATTTAAAACAAAGCAGAAAAATGTAAAATTAAAAATAAATAGATCAGGTAATAAATATATAAGTGCCTCCAAATCGAAATTATCATTTCTGAAGATAGCATCCAGCTCTGATGCTCTTCTGAAAAGCATATAAGTTGTCTATTGGGAAAAATTAGAAATCTTTCAAGATTTGTTTATTTTGTTTTTGTTTTTTTGGTTGAGATTAATCCAACTAACTAAATGAACTACAAATTGGAATTAGCTGACATTGGAAACTTTGTATTGTTGCCAAGGAAATTGGCTCAGACTCGAAGTGCGGAGCCAATCCACAAGTAGCACTCAAGTGCCAGGCTCCAAACGAGTGGAGGTAAGTGGAAAGCGTGTGTGTGTGTGTGTGTGTGTATGTGTGGGAAGAGGGTGGGGGTGTGAGTGCGTGAAGGCTTTTCTATGGCGATGTTATCAAACAAATTGAAATCTTGCAAAATTCTTGCACTAGAGCACTAGATGTTTGTCTTAAGTTGTGATTCCGAAGCCAGTGTTGGTAAGGAAGTGTGTAAGTCTGTGTGTTTGTGTGTGTGTGTGTGTGTGTGTACAAGTGGGTAATTTATGTTGAGCTATCATGCTATGAAAATTGCAGCACTTGACTGAGCATTTGCATAGATTTGACTGTTGCCAAACTGAACACAAAAACACAAATTTGATCTCCAGCAATGGCAAACGCATTTCGTTTAATTGAATGCGTGTGTGGTGGGATTGGTTTGCTCACAGGTGGGGTAATTGAATGAGTCCAGGCTCCAGTCATTTACATTCAATTAACAGTTGTTGCCGCATAACCGCATTGGCATCTATCTAAATATGCATAAGATACTGGATACAGATACAGATACAGATACATATAGATACAGTTACAGATGCAGATACCCACACTTAACTGTTATGGCTTTGCCTCCGGCATAAATATTCATCACAATCGTATAATTTATGCCTGTTGCTGTAATGAAACTAAGCACTCGATTATAAGTAGCTACTGATTAGGGAGCTCAATGTAGATTAGATTGCAGTCATCTATGTTTACTTATTACCAAATTATGAATGCCAATCAACTTGACGCAAAAAAAAGAAGCAAACAAAGTTACTTAAAGGCTCTACAGCTGCTGAGGGTTCCTACTTTTGCATGAAAGTCAAATCCAACTTTAGATTTAACCTCTTAAGAAACTAATTAAGGGTCGTTAAGGGCATGTAATTGGATAACCTTGTAGATCTCAAAAGGAATAATAATATGTATGTAGAGGATAGACTTTCTCGTCCATAGATTCATTCTACATTTAAATTTGACAACGCCAAAAGTGTTTATATTTATTGAAGTTTTCGTAATTGAAAGTGACTGCTTCAATCTATTGTCAGCTTTATAATACGAATTTTGCCTATTTATTTATTTACTGAGTGTGAAAGACAAGTTTTACACGAGTATGAAAGATCAGCTTGCATTTCTATACCTAAGGGTCAATAGAACATAGTTCGCTTTATGTTGGAGATAATCATGTTTTTCTACAAGTCAAAAGCGTCTCGAATTTCTTTGAAGTTGCTGGCTTAAATCATTGAGAATTTACAAGAAGTCAAATTTTTGGGCTTTTGTTATTATTGGCTTTGGTTGGCAAAGATTTTAGTAGCTACTTAATCGCTGTAAACTTGATTTCAATGTACCGGCAACAATAACAACGAAACCAGCAAGAAAAACAAGATGGAACAAGAACAAGAACAAGAACAACATTGAGATTGTAAGCAAACAATGTAAACAAATTGTATCAACAAATATACATAAACAAACGAAGGACCGCAACGAAGCAAATCGAAGACGAAACTGAGGGGCATTTGTGGGAGTTGGGCTGCGGCCTGTGTTTGTTGTAGATGGGCACTTGCCGCGGGTCATGTGGCAACAAAAGAAATCCTACACAAAATAAGTGGGCAACGGAAGCTGAAGGAGCTGCCCAAACTGAATGCGTGCAAATGCCAACCAAAGAAAGTGTTGCGTGATTTAGTTCGGCTACGTTTACTTTTATAGCCCTTTGTGGCTGTACTAATGCGTGTGTGTGTCTGCGTGTGTGTGTGTGTGTTGATTGAATTGAGGCAAATAAGCAAACAAGAAATCAGCAACAGCCACAACAAGCGTTGGTGTACCCTCATCTAAGCGAAAATTGATAAGTGCATAAGATGCCAGACAAGACCAGACAAATGGGGAATGTATCCAAAGGATACGCTCATATCCGGTACGGCATCCCAATTTCAAGTATTTGCCTAATATAAACAATTCTCAGTCGTTGGGTGCTCCTCGCCGTCTCCAAGCTCACTCCAGCCAGTGTTGGCAAGCTAGCTTTAGGTGCAAATCGAGCTCCGAAAAACGTACAATTTTTAACAATGAAAATTTGCTAGTTTATTAATTTAAATATGACTCTTATATATACTTATAGCATTTAAATACAAAATCATATTTAAAGCACAAGATCCTTTTATCAAAATTTTCCAGCAGCTGTATTAAGTGGCCAAATTGGATATGAAAAAAGCTGAATTGTCAACACTGCTACACGCACAATTAAATATCTTTGGAGCACTGTGTGAATTTGTCATCAAGTGGTGCTGCCAACCTGTGTGACATTTGACAAAGTGCCAAGTCAAATGGGTCCTAAGTTTGCTAGGCCAGCCAAGCCCCACCCTTCCCCCATCCCCTCCAGTCAAGTCGATTTCGAAGTAGTTTTGCATCTGACATGACAGTTTGTTTTGTTATCGTTATCAGACAAGTTGAGCCCGATAAAATGCAAACACTCAAACATTCAAGTTCATACAGGTAAACAACTTCAACTCCAACCAACAGCCCTGCAAATGATGATTTCACGGACTCTAATTGTAATTGAGTTGAGTCTGAATACAAATACTTTCATAAGCAGTAAGATCTTATTTCATTTAATTTAGAATTTAATGTTTCATTTAATTCATGTTGTAACATAAATATGTAAAGTATGTGCATTCGAAGTTAGCAATCATTAAAGTTAATAAACCAGTTTCATCTAGTGATGATGATCAAGAAAATATATACTTTATCAGATGGAACACACTTCCCGATAACATTAAAATACCTTCCGTGGAGGTATTTGTAATTCGATAATATTGTTTGTATCCGATTAATGGCACATTGTAACTACCTACTCGACAATCGTAGATACACTTTACGATACAATCAATTTGATTCAATGATAGGAATATTGATAGGCATATAGATCAGCCATGGCACACGTAATGATAGCAATTATTACTCTTGTACGATAAATAGTGGGTGGTGGTCAGGCAACAGAAACTAGGCAAATTAATTGATAGCACACCATAAATATATGTACTTAAATAAAAACACAAATAAAAATCAAAAGACTTGAGTGATTTGACAAATAAATCAACGACAATGCCACAAAATGCGGTTTCGATTTATTTTTTGTTTTGTATTTTTTTTTATCCCTGTCGGTTTGTCGATAAGGATAAGGTTGGCTGGCTGTCGAGGTGAACGCTGCATACATGGGGCGTATGATTGATTTACAACGCACTTGAAAACTATCAATTTGTATGTGCTGCTGTTGCTGCTCAAGCGGCATTTAGTTGGGGGTGACCTGTTTGGGTATCAAATTTTATCTTTTGTACTGTATCCGTTTTTATTATCTTATCTTGACTGCTTTGAACATGTCGCGTACAAATTAAAGCACTGTTTGCTAAAAGCAACAACCACAACAATATTGACAATGAAATCGAAAACAGTACAAAGCACATGAGAGAAATTTGTTTTTAACAGAGTTTTTTGTTGTTGTTTTGTTTATTTTATTTTGCATTTTTGCCTAGATGCGTCAGTTGTTTGTTTTGCTTGTGTTGGCACAGTTTCAATTTTTAAATAAACACTAAAAACTAAATAAAAGTCAAACCAATAATCTAGCTAGCAAGAAAAGAGTTCAAGTGCTAAGCAATTGGACTTCTGTTCATTTTAGTGAGCCTTGATCAGCAGCAGAGCCAGTGCGAGGACGCCAGTAATTAAGGGCACTGACTTGGTGGCCGAGTTCTGGTAGCAACTATAAGATAAAAAGAAAATACAAATATTATTGAGGTGAATCAGTTTTTTGTCTAGTCAAGGAAGCGACTGCTTAACTTTAAAGTAATCAACAAAATTTAACAAATTTGAAGAAAAGAATAAAAACTTATAGAAATAAATATATATATATTAATTTTTTAACATTAGTATTTAACACTACTTTTGATGAATGAATGCAAAATACTAACTTGATTAGTAATTCAATTACGTTTTCGAAAATAAGTATGTAAGAAAAAAATGCCAAATTAAAATTGATATCCGTTGAAATTGAAGGAGTTTTGTTCCTTTTTTCTGGTACAGTCGGCATTTTTTATATATGCATAATCATCAGTATGATCGATAGATTTTGTTCGATTTTAGATGGATTGGTTTGTGATTAACTTACCCATCTTGTTCGATGCTGCCATAGGCGTTATTCTGGAAGTTACTGTACAATGCGGCGGCGTTGTTATTAACTGTCGCAGTAGCAGTTGAATTGTAGTGTCCGGAACGGCCGAGAATGAATCCGTAACTGGTAGATGCATCCGATGCATTGGTATAGCCACAGCCAACGATGAAGTTGTTGTTCTCGACCAACTGAAGCAACTTGATGAAGACAGGCGTCTGTTCAGTATTGTCCGTGATGAAGGTCACCGAATAGCCACTCGTGCCACCGTTCACCAGCTTTACAATGGCCCTTTCTTGAACATTTTGGTATAGCGATGTGCTACTGCTCGAGTGTATGGCACTGATGTTCAGTGTGTTTTGGTCACTTTCCAAATTCGCAGTGATGACCATGCAGGCTTCAGAATTGCCAATGGGAGTGCGGGTCAGCTGCACCCAGGTGTCAAACAGCTGAAACCGAAAATAATATAAATCACTTGGCAACTCGGATTCGAGCTGATTTTGGATCGCGAACACTTACTGCATTATTACTCCAATTGATACTTGAGACAGTTTCACTGCTGCAAGTTTGTGGAGCAGGTGCGGTGGTCGTTGATGGTGATACTGTTGACCCTCCTGTGGTTGATGGTACTGTTGTTGATGTTGCATCCTGGGCACTCGCCAAGGCCAAGGCGGCCACGATCAAAATCACAATTTTGCACATGATCAGTATTTTTTTGTATGTGTATTTGGAATTTGGTTTTAGGTTTGAGAATCACTGCACTTTGTTTTAATGTCCTGGCCGCGCGTTTTCTGGACTTGGTTCGGTTCGATTGAGTTCCCTTTTAAAACTGTCGCTGTGCCCTTTCATGTAGACTCTTTTATAGCCAAATAGATACACATAATTTATCTTTGCGCTTCTTATCAAATACCCAACCGCTCACACACACACGCACACACGCACACACAAAGTGAGTCTTAGTGCAGCTTACTTTTTTGATTCTAGCTGACGTCTCTTATCGTTGTTGTTTTTTCACAACATTTATAGAAGAGTATAGAAATTCGAAATGATTTCGGACATGACCAATCGTATTGGCTTAAGTTATCATTAAGTATACCAAAATGTTCCCCTTTTTTGCACAATTGTAAAGCATTTAAGCCTTAAATTGTCTACATGTGCCTTCAAACCATGATTTTATTCTACGAAAATAGCGTCATTGACTAATTTCGATTCTGTTCAGAAAGCAGCAGCACATCAGTACAATACGTACAGTGCCGGTGGAAAAAATAGTGCTGTTATCAATTAAATGGCTTACAAAATTCCCCTTCGGCTTAGTTTGGCCTTAATGTACGATGTAAGGCAACCATCAAAGGCCGAAAAAATTCTCCAATTTTTTACAAAACGATTAAACACCAAGGTTAATGGTATGTGAGTATCATTCGATTACAGTGCTAATATAGACTGGGAATTGCGACAGCAATTTTAGCTGGTCGTCCGGGAGAGCAAAACGATCACACAGACTATAAGAGAAATACCAGAAATATCACATATATAAAGATATAGCCTTCCAATTGATATATAATGTACCCCAACATATTATTGATCAAATATACAAATTGCATAAGGGTCGTAAATGATCAAATTACTATCAGCAAGCAATACACTTAAGGGTTGGCTTAAGAGAATCTCGACTATAGCATTCGGACTGGTTTCACTTACATATCTAAAAGCTGTTCGAATTGGGCTATTGAGGCCAAAAACCTTTAACAAAGACAGATGCTTATTTTGCTGCTATTTATTTTTCTACTGCTCTAATTAAAAAAATTATATCACAATAAATACTTATGATTTCATGGCTTCTTATCATGCAAACATAATAGATTATATGGAATAAATTGGTTTGTTTATTCTAAGCATTTTAAATATTAAATTATTATACATATACATATACAAACTATCATCAGAAGCCAAGAAAATCATCCTCAAATTGTTGTTGTGCATAGAAATACGATATTTGTGCCAGAGCTACTAAAATATACGTGAGTTCAGTTCGGGCTTGTGAATAAAAAAATTTGGTACCAAAGTTATTTCTTTACCCTTCAGCACCTGTGCCGGAAATGGGAAGTGAGTACACTTGAACACTTGCTTATATTTGAGTGTGCAAAGCGGAAATTTGGCATTTAAATTAGAGTAACAAAAATATTCGGCAGCTGGGTTCAGGCTATCCAGTAGTCGAGCTCACTCGACTACAGCTTTCTTACCTGTGTGCCATATCTTTTAATTTACCTCTTGAAAATATTTTGCAAATAACGAATGAGCTAGTACGCAGTAAGAACTACATTTTATTCTATTAATGGTCGTTTTTTTTATCTATAAAACATGATTTATTGGTATTACTGTAGCCTATCTTGTGTAAATTCTTAATTATAATTGTACGCAGGCTTTGAACTATAGATATAAGTAGATACATATACATATTTACTTTTATCAGTAACATTTCGTGACTCATCAGTGCAGGTACAATAAAAACGAATATAAAGAGCGTTCGTTCTGATAAATTGTAAGCAAACTCAGAAAACTTAAAATTAGACGCTAGCTAAAAACAGAAGTTCTCGAGACAACATAAAAAATAATATGATAGGAAATTGCCACCGTTATCTAGATAATAGGAACAACAGACAATTGCATATGGCAAGGCTATAAACGAAATTAACTTAAACAAATTAAGCATTGTACATCAAGGTTTATAGCAGTAGCCTTTAAATAGAAGTTAAATTCACTTATAGACATAGAAGCCTAGTCCATTATCTTTATAACAAAGCGTGTGAATAACACTGGCACAGAATTAGGTCCATAGATTAGAAGAAAGTTAAGCCACATAATTTTATAAGCACATTAATTAAGTTATCCCAATGAGTTACATATAAAAGTGAGTCAGCTTATTGAAGCAATTTTGATTACCAAACTGGCAAATATGGAATCACTGTAACTAAACTGAAACAAGAAACACAAGCTTAAGAATTTTTTATTTTTCAAAAATACAGATTTTAATGATAATTAAATACTGGTAATGAAGAATTAAAACTCTTTTAGAATTTATACATACCTAAACAAGATTTGTAGAGAATATCAGAATTGTCGGAGTTTTGAAAGTGTGTTCACCAATACTGTTTAACTAGGAACTCATAACATTTATTTGTAATATTGTTTGTATTGTAAAATTGGTTCGAGAACTATTTGGTGTACAGATAGATAACAATTGCAAAAATAGCATAAAGCACCGTTGATGTAGTTGAGGGATCAGCGCCACTATAACAACTGTAAAAGGAATGTATATAGAATATATATATATATATATATATACAGATTCACAGATCAAATCAAGTACTTACGTGCTGCCTTGAGTGGTCAGAGTCATGGTGCCATCAAAGAAATTATCATAAAGAGCCGAACTTTCACTCTCGATGGTATCCAAAACAGTCGGTGCGAGTGTACGATCTCTGGCGATAATCATGCCAAAGGCGGTCGAATTATCGGTGGCATTGGTGTAGCCACAAATCACGGCATACTGCGAATAATCAGTGTCCAAGACCTTGAAGACTGTATGGGGCGTATAATCGGGCGGATTCCAGTAGGTGAAATTGTAACCCTCCGTTGAGCTGATTTTATCAGCTACAGTTAAGGTTGCATTCATGGTCTGATTGACGTACGGATAATCGATCGTATTCGAATAGGTCGTATCAATTAGCACATTATCTTCGGATTTATCTAAAACTGTTACGTTGATCTTTGTGCAGAATATAGAACCAACCGGCTGACGTGTAATCTCCCACCAAATGCCAGAAAACTACATTTGTATGGATATGTGTGAATACTCTAAACATACTTGTACCAGATAATATCATCCTACCTTCTCCAAATCGAGGGCCATGCTCGTGCTCACATTGCAAGCCATCGTATCGTGAACTGATTCTGTTGTGGATATTGCGGGTGTTGTGGATATTGTGGATGTTGTGGTCGTGTCATCTTGTGCATAAATCCCTTGGTTACTGAGCAAGCCCAACAGGAGGCAGACCAGTGCTAATCCCCATTGGTTGCCGCTTAAGGATGGCATTTTTCAAATAAGAAGTTCAGTTTTCCGTACTTTCCAGTTGCGTTCTGTGACCGCACCTGCTGACGATTAGCTGTCCAACTGAACTGTGAATTTGTGAATCACATATTACCATAATTGACAGCTTATTAATCATATGATATCATTACTTCGATAAAAACACATAGACGCATAGTGTTGGTAAACCTTTAAGTACATATGTACATATGTATGTAGATACATAATCAGTTTGCGGAGTGGGTAAATAGATTCACATAGAACACATTGCATCATGTGATGTTGGCCTCCTGAGCTCTTGATACTCCCAACTGCAAATTACTTTCGAGTACCGTTCAATTCAAGTTATGTAATCTCAAATGTCGTTATGAACTTTGGTGATAAATGAATGAGTGATAGGTGACAACTGAAGTGGTCAGCAACCATTTAAGACTTCAAGACCCAAGCGGTATATATATACAAAAAAATGTTATGTGCATTTATTGATAAGTCGCAGCTGGTGACTGTTTCATTACAAAAAATAACGAAATCTGTTCATCAAACTTGTGATTGAAGTTCTACTCAAAAACTATATAATGCATTCTCCTTTTGCTATTTTCAATTGATTTATGTAACTATTTGGTGAACTTGTATTTAGAATTTAAGTACATTTTCAATATAGATGTCATTTAATTTTGAAGACCTTCGCTCACTGAACTGATTTTTGTAGGCACCTAGTTGTGCTCAGTGTTGAACAACACCCCAAGCATGTAGCGCACTAACTGTGAACTGTTAATGGCACCTTGTCGAACACTTGGCACATACATTTTAAAAGACTTACATGTTTTAGTTACAAGATCCGAAAGTGGCACAGTATAGCCAAGAGAGAGCTACAGCGAGTAAGCTAGTTAGAGGAATAAAGACATATATATAGAGAGAGCGAGAGAGGAGAACAACTTTTTGGTACAGTTGACACACACATTCGTGCATCATCGTGCTGTTTCGGTTATAGGCGCCTAAACGGCACCCAAGACGACCCGCAAACTTTGCACACCACACCCACATTTCAGTTACAAGCATGTGCCACGCCCACAACAGCACTGTGGGGGCGGTGAATTTTGTTTCAGGTGTAACACTTCTGCCTGTTATTTAATTAAAAACTATTGCTCGTTTTGCAGTTGTGCTCGAAAAAGTTAATAAAAGTGCTTTTTAGCCCTTGTCTCGCATGTCTTGATTATTTAATTGGGCCATGTGAGAAATTTTAATGAATAGTTGAAACACTCTCAACATAAATCCATATAAACAGCTCCGTATGTCTGCATGCAGTGTGTACACACTGCCACCTTGGTAGCCAAAAGTTTTGATTAAACTAAAGTAGTGGAGTAGAGCATGCAGTAGTGCAACTATCCAAAGATAATCGTAATTGCAATTAAGCAATTTAAACAACATAAAAATGCTTGGCCAAACACCTCCGTATTAATTAACTAAATAATTGAAATTTGCTGTTGTTGCCGTTTAGTGTGGGACTCAGTCCAGAAAATTCTAATTCCTTGAGACAAGACAATTTATAATAAAATGTCAATATGATAAGACATGTGCTTATAACAATTCAAGCACACATGTACCTAATTATATTCTAAGAAAACCCTCTGATAACATTATAATTAGCGAGGGCTTTTCTGAGCGTGTCGTGTCCAAATTCCGATAAATTTGATCGAGGTCGAGCTAAGCAAACGAATTAATCATTGTCTATAAAAATAACTATGATCACAGCAGTTATCTTGTCTGATAAAAATGTTTTTTGAGTTTGAGAAGGCGACACAAACCCTTATAAACCTGCTCCATTCTCGATTTTTCGACGGAGATAATTTTTTAAATTTCACGTGGTCACGTGGCACTTTTGTTGGTGTCTAGGTCAGTTTTTAACTAGAAGCGCTTCGGGGTTTTCCCTGTTTTTGGCTTTGTGGTCGCGCTCCAAGTAACAGCGCTTTTTTGATTTGCTTTGAACTACTCCTTGAAAAGATTTCTTTGTTTACCATTCATGTGAAGTAACTTTTTACACCGTTTTAATGTCAAGTTGCTCTTTTTGTTACAGTTCATACTTTTATTGCCCTTTTAATAGAACTCCATATTTGTAGACATTCGTATTTGCACATTTACATTAATTGAGGTTTCCTCATTCTTAAATGATGAATGAGCAGTCCTCTGCTAGCAAGCTCTGTTCGATAAATATAAAGTCGATCAATAAACATAAAATCACAAAAAGATTGCATACTTTCAGGCCAAATAAAAATCCCACTTGCCGGAAAATAAACAAAATATAATAACATACTTTCGGGCGGAACAATCAAAATGTGAATGAAACCCTATTTCACATGATCTTCAAGCATATTCTTAGGATGAACATTAATATCTATGCAAAATAGTTTAAAAGCAAATGCAAATTTTAATTGCTTCTTAAAAGAAAGTAACTTAAAGTTAGCCAAATCTTTGCAAACTTTTTGGCGATATCCTGCTTTAAAATTCTGGAATATGTATCTTGTGTGTGTGGTCTCTTCAATATCCCCAATTCGTGCAACAAATGTTGGATCATTTTGTATTTAAATACCCCCAGAAATCTTATAAATATTTTTTATTTATTAATTTATATACATATATTTTTTAAATTTTATCTGATATTTAATTTAATTTCAATTTTTCTTACTTGTATTTTTTGTGTCGACTGACTCTAGTTGACATTAAATAAATAAATAAAAATATCAATAGTCAAAGAAAACTTATAAAAATTTCATTCACAGTGGAAAAAAGATATAAGCTGAAAGCACAAAATCATTGTTTCCTTGTGAACTACAGGGACGATTTGGGTGTCCTTAGGGCAGTTGGTAACTGAGGTCCACAGTTCAACAGAGTTATGAGAGAATCCTCGATTTGTCTGATTTTGAATTCTTTTTAATGTGAGTTCTAAAATATGTGTTCTTTTCAGGTGATTAAGGATATAACAAAGTCATGGCTTAAGAGCCCAGGTAATCTTAGCTAAAATAGATCTAAGTCGGTCAAGTCCCAAAAGATTATCGAAGGAAATAGTGTGCTAGGATTGAAAGGAAAGTGTGTTAGGATTCAAGGACTTTATGGTTATATTAGAATCCTTAACTCGCAGCGATATGAATTAGCTTGCTGCAACCAACACAAAACTTTGAGGCCTTCTTTTAGGAGCAATCATGTATTTGTGCTGAGTAGGAAGGATATTGAAATTGTTTGCTAATTGGCACACTTGATATCACAAGCACACAGATAGACACACACACATAGACAGACAGATACACGCACTCTTGCCTAAACTATGTTTGTGTGTGTGAATTTAATTGCACAACAAGCTTTGATGCATTTATTAAGAGCTCTCGCAAAGATGTCGGGTTTGCCTGCAACTGCAACATGCTGAAATGTATCTGAATGCTCTGCCTTTTTTCCCACTGGCAACCGCAGCAGAGTGCGAAGGTGGCAGATACACACACACACACACACACACACACACGCACACAGACTCCTTGAAAATAATTAAGTTGTTTATCTTAATGCAAGCATTTCTCTTGCTGCAAGTAACTGTTAATTACACTCTGAGCGCTTTATGCAAAAAGTACCAAAAAAAAAAAAGTAAATGAGGAAAACACAACGCAAAAGGAGAAGCGCAATGTAAACTTTCTATTAAAGGCAACCTTGCAAGCAACACACACCCACACACATACACAGGCACACCCACACACACACACACCCACACACACACACATACATACACACATACATACACACATACATACACGTGTGCGCACAGTAACTGAGCAATGCTTGTTTTATTCTTATGCCCCGCTCTCTGCTCGCTCCGCCTCCGCCCGCTCAAGTGCGCATTGCGCAAGCCAATTTAAATTTTAAAATAAGCACATTAACTGCATGCCCCCCCACACACCCACCCACACACAACCACACCCACACACACACACACACTTTCGCACACACGCGCGCATATTTAATTTGCTGCAGATTTACGCCTCTTGGCATGCTCCTCTTACAATTGCGTCTCAGGCTGGCATGGGGCATGCGGCATGCGGCATGCGGCATATGGCATCTGTTTTCATTGAGAGCATCAGATCACAGAGTTTGATGCCAGCTTCCGTTTTGGTTGCGGGAATTCCTCTGGAATAGTTAAACACTTTGCATCTGTATTCATAATTCGATTTTAATTATTATCCATATCTGCTTATAGAGAGAAGAACTAATTGTTAATTGCTTTTACAAAAAATGTATAAACTAACTAATTTTTTTTGGTTTCTTTTTTATTTTGGTTGAATTGTTTTTGTTTTTGTTTTTTGCATAATTGCTAATCATTTAATTTAATTGATATAAATGTACGATTAACTGGCGTTTAACATTATAAATTCGATTAAATCGTTTTGCGTTAAAATAGATTTAAGAGCCTCCATTCAATTTGGTTACACAAAAATTAGTTTCTGTATACTTAGGATCCGGCTGGGACCCAATGATGATATGATGTCAAAGTTCTTACACAAAAAGAAACCAACAGAAAACAATAGTTAATATATACAATTAGCATCTATTTTGTCTTTTCTTTTTCCTTTTTTTTTTTAGTTTTTAGTTTAACACAAGTGACTAAAACGTTATCGATTAACAGTAGTGTGTTTTTTAGGTTTTGTTTTTTTTTTTTTTTGGAAGAACTATAGCAATTTGATTTACGAGTTATTATTGACTTGTCATATTTACAGGAAATTTTGATACAAATGATGTCTTCGTTCGAGTTCTTGAGTTCTTGAATGATAGTTTAATTCCGTCTCATTTTGTTTTTTGTTTTTTTTTTTTGTTTTTGTACTGATATTGATAGTATCGGAAACCAGGTGTGCTATATTACATAAGTGCGGGACTCGAACAACGCTCCCAAAAATTGATATGTAATATTCAAAATGAATGCAAAATGATAAAAATTGGCAAATTTGCTTAAGCTGAAATGGAAAATGAAAAGAGTCACAATAATTCGGAAATATACGCGTCTAGTATTTATTCTAAGTTTAGATATTATAGGGTTGTCAGGCTGCTCCAATTATTTAGCTGCTTTGTCACTCGTTCAATGATTGTGCTTCTGCATAATTTTCAATACGTCAATATGGGAAGGTTTATGGTATATTTCTAGTATATATCCAAAAATCACAACAACTTGAACTGTTACAAAAGCATATTCTATGAGGGGAGTTGGGAGGCGGGAGGGAAGCAAAGGACAAGGGATGACTATACTAAATGCTATCAATGTTAACGCTTAGTATTATCGGGCTATAATTCTATATACAGCATAATTATTTTTGGGCTCAATCTCTAGTTTGTCGTATTAATATAATGTATAAACTACTAATTATAGGATACATTGCATTGTGCTCATATTATGTATATGAAAATTGTTACATTCGCATAGTACACTTCCTTAGCATCTCTTTAATCTAATAATGTTTTGTGTGTGGGTGTGTGTGGGAAGGTGGAGGTGGTGGTGGAGAGCGGGGCGGGGTTTTCAAGATATCCTATTGAATGAATTGGGCCTAAGTCGCTGGCTATTTACAGTACTGATACAACCTAGCAAGTGTTTCAAACTGGGGTCGAGGCCATTAACATATGGGGTAGCCCCTCACCTGTGTAGTTCTCTGCGGGTTCACTCGATATACCTAATGGGTGCTTAGTTTCACATAGTTTACAAGCGTTATCAACTAGCTTAATCACTAGGCTATCATTTATTAAACAATTCATTGTATTTATTAGTTTGCTGGCAATACGTCAAATATGTTTGGTATTTAGTTCAATTTCTCAATTGTTGTAATATATGTAAACAGTCTTATGAGAGCCTTTCAATTTGGGGCAAAGGCTACGTTAGATAAATGCATTTTCTTAGCTAACACAAACGAAAGGAGAAAACAGTTTTGTTACCAAAATGTTACACAAAAATGCAAGGAGAATCAGCAGAAATATAAAGCAAATGTTAAACATTCAAAACTATATTAAAAAAAATCAAATTGTTCGCTTTGTGGGTTTCCAATAGAGTTTTTGCGCTCGTTTTAGCTGCTGTCAAGTTTAAAATATCCAAAATGATATTTATCGATAACATTTCGATAACACTTTCTCCTATAATATTTAAATAAATATTTATTTGCATGCAGAAAGAACTAAATAAAAAACACTGAAATAAAGAGTAAAAAACTGCAATAAAAAAAACAAACATAAAATGCAATCCCAGCTGAAGTTTGCTGTGACACCCTGTATTCTGTTGCTCAACTCAAAGTCAAATTCAAATTCAAATCAAAAATCAAAAAGCCAATTTTCGTTTTAGATTTTTTCAATATTTTGTTTTATATGTATTTTTTTTTTAATTTTCGTCTTTTCTTTTTCATTTTCATTTGTTTTGCTCGTTTTTCTTTTCATTTGCTTAAAAACTAAAATAACAAACAAAAGTAAAAAATCATTTAAAATTACACTTTAGATTAGGTTGGACACTTAAAATAAGTTTTGCATAATTTACGTTATAAATTAATTTGTATTTGTTTTCATTTTCATTTTCGTTTTCGTTTTCATTTTTATTATTATATTGTAGAATTTGGCAATCACATTGGAAAAACACTTAGGCGCTATAAGTTCTTTGCGTTCTAGAAGTTATCGACTAAAGTTAAGCTGACTCTTTACTTAGTTACTTATTTACTTATGGCAGCCCCCTCCAAATAGGACGAGGGGTAAGTTAATATAACTTTAGCATATCTATAACATATGTCTATTGCTTTTACGATGTACACGCAGCGGAGAGAGACTTGTACTACACTTAGCCACAGTTCGTCCTCGCTAACTGCAACAACGTTACTCCAACTATAGAATTTCAAAAACAATTCAAAAAGAATTTTCGACATTTTTGGAAATTGTTGTCGCAATTAGGGAGAGTTCACCGTACACTGAGAACACGAATACGAGCTTACAAACTAGCTGTACAGCTTAAGCGAGAACGAGAACGCGAGCGAGCTTTCATCCGGACGAAAGCTCCTTAAATATATACAGGAATTGGCTGCGGGCTGCGGGCTGCTTACGCTGGCGACAAACCGGACGCATTATTATTGTCCAGCTGGGAGTGGATCGTGGAGCAGGCGCTGCTATTGTTATTATTCAAATTGGGACTGCTCATTGCTGCCACATCGTTGCTGCCGCTGGGCGCAACGGGGGATATGGTGGCAGCAACAGCGGGCGATGTAGCTTTCCTGCCCCGATGCCAGCCAAAGCTCAACGCTGCGCTCAACTTGCTGGCAGCCGGCTGCTGTTGCTTCGACTGCTGCTGCTGCTGCTGTTGCTGTTGCTGCTGCTGTTGCGTCTCCAGCGGCGTTGTCAGCTCGTAATCCTGTCGCCCAATCGAACTGGCCGGCGTATGATGACTGTAGCCGGAGTCGGAGCCAAAGCTGGAGTCACCGTACGGCGCCGCCTGTTGCTGCTGCCTGTAGTCCAGCGTTGTTGCATACGGACGCACTGCACCCGCCCCAGCCGCCGCCCCCGTCGCACTATCGTAATAATAGTTGGCATTGTACAACGGCTCCGCATAGCCGTAAGCGGGCTCCGCCGGCAGCATTGGTGCCGCATGAATCCGATGATGCTGATGCTGATGCGCCGCCAGCCGGCGATCGATGAGCCGGGGCTGTGTCCGCGCACGCATTGTGGCAGCCAGCAGACCGTTGACGCTATTGGGCGCATACTGTTGCACGCTCGGATACCGGATACGCTCCCTGTATATCGTCGAGAGCGGCGGCAGCGGCGGGCCAGAATGCGTCCCAGCGCCGGACGCCGCCTGGCTCAGCTGGGCATTGATGCGATTGCGACGCTCCACTTCGTGCTCGAGCGTATTGTAGAACTGTGGCGCCGTCGAGCGGGCCAAATAGTTGCCGAGGGACATCAAGTTGCTGCGATTGTCGTACAGCGGCGCCAAGTCCGCAATCTCTGACGTCGAACTGCTCTGCTGCTGCTGCTGCTGCTGCTGCTGCTGCAGCTGCTGCTGGCGACTGCGCGGCGTGCGTCGCAGCTGGGATTGGCTGGGATTGTTGGCAGCCAATGCGGCAGCGAGCTCGTTACAGTTATTACTATTATTATTGTTATTATTGGTATTATTATTATTGGTATTATTATTGTTGCTGCTCGCCGTCGAGGCGCTCGCCGTGGACGCATCCTGTGCCGTTGAGGAGCCCGAGCTGAGCACACTGTGCCGCTCCTGCGGCGGCGCTGCAATTGTACCCGTTGTTGCCACAACGGCTGCCACACTGCTGCCCCCAACGGCGGCCGCTCTCTCGTGGTAGTTGGCTGTGCCAGCTGCCACAGTAACTGTCGCATTTGTCAGATCCTTGTGGAAACTGCACTCGCCGGGCAGCGACAACTCATCCTCGGCGAAGTCATCGTCCGAATGCAGCGGTGGCTCCGATTCACCATCCGAATCTACCCGTCCTGGTCCCAGTTCCTCGTACACATTGTCATTGGAGCGGTACGGATCGGGTCCCGGTGACGAGCTGACCAGGAACGGTGGCGAACGCGTCATCGGAAATCCACTCGGATAATGTATGCTCTTCCCCTGCAGCAGCTACACGAGAGAGAGAGAGAGAGAGAGAGAGAGATGGGAAGAGAGAGAGAGAGAGAAAGTTAGTGAGATGTGCAAAACGACTTAGCAACTAAATTTAGGAGTAGAAAACAGCTTGAGTATGGTAACAACTGAGAGATACCCTGTAGCAGGTATAGTCAATTTTAATTACAGGGTATTACGTAGACAAATCGAGTGTGAGAACTAAAGCAACTATTTAATGAATTATATTTGCGTGACTTTAACAGAAATATAATTCTAAGTACTATATATACCCAACTACATGTTTGTACAGGGTACACAGCGCATACGACGCTTAAAAAGCGCATACACTCAACATGATTTAAGAGGGTATAAATAAATTCAACAATGCTCTCTGAAAGAACTCGCCTTGAAATCAAAAGTTTTTCTATTTCTTAGAAATAATATTAAAAAAATATTTTTAAAAAATCCAACCGAAAACTGTCAAATGCAAACCCTAGTTTTGAGATAGCCACAAGTATAAATAATTCTAGAAATTTACTTTCTGAATAATACTTCTGAATAATAATATTTTAGGGAATTACAGGGTATCTGCTGGTGCAGTGCAACGGCAACCGCAAGCAGTTGTTGAAACAGCGCAAAGCCGACAAAAGGCCAAAGCCAAAAAACAAAATGCCGCAAGAAATGAATAATAAATAAGCAGAAAGCGAAGAGAAATGCAAACAGGAGCAAGCAGGACTAGCCAGGACGAAGCAGGACAAACGAAGTGAAAGTAACACTGAAAGCCGGCAACCAACAAATAAAAAGCATGCGAAAAAAGCACGTGAAAAAAAGGTTTAAAATTATACGCGACTTAGTTGAGGGTGAAAGGATTACGCAAGGATGCCTCAAAGAAGTGAGTGAGAAAGAGAGAGAGTGAGAGAGAGAGAGGGGGGGGGGGGGGGGGAAATGCAATGCAAAATTGCAAAATGCGTTTCGAGCTGGTTTCGAGATTTGTGTCAAGGAGAATCATGGCCTAAAGGAGCTGTTTATCAGACATTCAAATAAACACACACTTCACTTTGAGCACACAGGAGGCACACAGGACGAAGAAAATGGACCATAAAGCGCCATCAAGAAATATGATGATGCGAAGGCAGCAGAAAAAAACAGCAGAAGCTGCAAGCAAAAGGAAACAAAACAAGCCAAAGGTAAACAGAAAAAAAATGAAGGGAAAAAGGCGTCGAGAGTCGTAAAAATGGCACAAAAGGCGCACAAATTAAGCCGCGGGGCAGAACAGATAATGCATAAATATATATCGTGTGTCATATATATACATATATATATATATATTTATGTGTGTGTACAGTGTGCGCTAAATAAAACGGAACATGCGCCAGTTCGCATTTGTAATAAATATGAAAAGGAATGAAAAAATTAATTATGCTCAAAATGGAAAATATTTATTAATTGAAATTGCTGCATTCTTTTTGCTGTTGAGGAATTTTCAAATTAAATAAAAAAAAATGCAACGTTCAGTTTAGCGAGTGCACACTGTAGAATTATATATATGAATTCGATATGTGTGTGTCGCTGTCAAGTTCAAGTGTAAATTGAGGCGTTCCCAAGGAGGAGCCTCACTGAGCGAGTGAGTGAATGAGTGAATGAGCGAGTGAATGAATGGCGAGCAGGATGAAGACAGGCATTAAGGAAATGTGGTTTCATTTTACACAAGTTTGACAATTGAATTGTCCTTGATGTGTGCCCCTGTGTGTGTGTGTGTGTGTGTGTGTGTGTGACAGGTTGACAATGACAGTGCAATGTTTTGACAGGAATTGTCGTAATGTTTGGCTGCAAAGCGAAAAAAAAAAACATCCGTCAACAATTTGCCGAAAAGACGACATAAGAAAAAACATCCTGCACAACAATTAAACAATTGTGACAAACAAACAATGGAAAGCGAGACGTGAGAAGCAGAGCGAATAAGAATAGGGGAGTAAAGGGTAAGGGGTAAGGGGTAAGGGGCAAAGGAGCTAGGGGTAGGGGGACAATACTAACCTCTGCATGCGGATGCTGCTGATAGTGATGATGATGATGATGATGGTGATGCGGATGCGGATGCTGATACTGATGGTGCCGCATCACCAACGGCCGGTGGTGACCCAAATGTGCATCGGGATCCTCGTACATGGCAAGATGATGATGATGATGCTGCCCACTGTGCGTGCCACCGCCACCAGCTCCGCCGCCGCCGCCACCCAAGGGCAAAGCACCACTGAGAGCGCCACGTGTCGGCGTCTTGCACGGCAGCAGATTCTGCACCTTTCGCTTATTTCTGTAAATACAAAGAAGAAAGAGACAATTTCTGATTAGTGACTGTGCAAGTTGTTAAGAGCTGGAAGAGCTTAAGTGATACGGATTAAAGAGTTACTGAAGCTGTCAAAAGCACGATCAATGAGCACGCCAACTAAAGAGCAAAAACTTAAGCTTAAAGCTGTCACAGCTTAAAGTCAACTAAAGAGCGTCGCGGTTGAGTGCAGGCAATAAATTTAAGAGAGAGGCGCTGACCAAGGCTGAGTTTAGATCCCCCGCCAAGCAGCTTAAAGAAGAAAAAGAGCAAGTCTTTAAGGAAGTGTATAAATTAATAAGCTGTAAAGAGCGAGTGAGTGGGCGGGCAAGCTTAAAGAGCGCCGTTAAAGCTGTGCCATAAATAAGAGAGAGCCAGTCCAAGAGACTGGGTGATGGAGCAAGAGCTCATTCGATTTTAATTGGGCAAGTAGCTTAAAAAGAGCCTTATGTAAGGACTAGACAAACGTGTGCGAGGATGGGCGGGGGAGGCTGATGAGCAGAAGAGAGCAATGATGATGACGTTGATGACTTTGTTCGAGCATCGCTCGCTTAATTGAGAGCCATCAGTTTTCGGTCAGCCAACGATGACTATGCAGAAGAAGAAGACGACGAAGCAGGCGAAGAGAGTGAAGAAGCAGACGAAGACGAAGAGATAAATCGATTTGTAATGGCTGCAATAATGTTGGGCGCAGACAGAGAAGGGGCGGGTTGGTGGGTGGGCGTGTCTATAGCCAATGATAAATGTACAGGTAAAAACAGGCGCCAAGCCAAAGCAGCGGCAAATATTTCATTTAAGCAGAGTTGTTGTGATTAATAAAGAATGCGACAACAGCAAAAGCAAAAAACCAAAAAAAAACAAAAGCAAAAACAAAAGCAAAAACGCAACACACACAAAAATGCGACCAAAAAGTGTGCCACATAAAATTCAATTTAAATAAGCAGCCAGCTAAAAGCATCGGCAGCAGCAGCAGCTGTAAACACAGAAGGAGAAACAGGAGCTAAGCACGCAAGGACAAGGACGAAGCTGGCAACGAGACAGGAAGGATGTCAAAACAAGTCGATGGCATTTTTGTTCTTGTTATTGTTGTTGTTGGATCTGGGAGGCAAACCGCGTGCCATGAAAATAATGAACATAATTAAGTGTTGCCCATGGCAAAAAGACAACACCAGCTAACATCAAGCCCCCCCCTACACCCCGCCCCCATCCGACAACCTCACATCCCTGCTCCCTGAGAGAAGCTGGCATATGGCAAACTGTAAGATTCGCCAGTTTGCCGAGTTTGCCGAGTGCTCAGCATAAGCATAATGAAAAATGTGGAATTAAATTGATGCCACGTCGAGTAGCATGCCCCAAGGGCCAAGTATACAAAATGTATGAGTTGTGGGCTAAGCCAAGGGGCAAATGAGCGGGGCAGGGGTGAATGGGGGAAGTGGCAGCTAGAGCTGTCAGCCTTGTAATGTCTTGTAGGTAAACATGTTGCGCGATGTCAAACGGAAGTCGCTCGTAAAAACTCGCATGCACAAAAACCCGACAAGCCCAACTACCCCAGCCACCTCCCCCAACCCCCAACCCCCAACCCACTCTACACAAAACAAAAGCGAAAGCTAACTGTCGTAGAGCGCATCTGATTGTGGGAACGAGGAATATATATACATATATATACATATATATATGTTTACATATATACTTATTAAAAATGCTAGCCTACTTTCGGGAGAGTGGCAAAGTCTGAATACGCTTTCGCAGTGCAAAACGTTTACGAAAGACGCGCAAAGAGAAGTTGTCGAAATTGTTTACGCTTGGAGTGAGAGTGAATTGAGAGTAAATGGTTATTTAAACAGCAAAAGAGAGAGAGAGAGAGAGAGAGAGAGAGAGAGAGAGGAAGACAGAGAGAGAGATAAACAGATAGAGAGAGACAGAGAGAGCGTTAAAGGAAAAGCGAGAAAGAAAACGAGGCAAGGAGAAAAAATGGAGAGTGATAAATTGGTTAGTTAGTTAGTTGACTAACAGTTAAACGTAGCTTAACCACGCCCACGAATATGTTGCAAAAAGGAATCATGCAGAAGATAAGTAATAAAGCTAAATGCCAGTAAAACGTTTACGAATGTGACGCAAAGGGGAATAGCACAGTTTAAAATGCGCTCGAGAGTGTAAAAGGAAACTGCAAAATTGAAATGCTTGCAAGAAGTCGAAGAAGAAAGCTGCGAATACAGCCAGTAAAGCGTTAGCGAAGCTAAGATAAAGAGGAATGTGAGTAGCTCTCTATGTCAAATTGAAGACATGTCGAGCTGTGAGCTGTGAGCTGCGTCCATGTTGCAAGTGAAAGCTGAGAGTCTCCACGCTCGAGGAGAGCATAATGTGTGGCATTCTGTGTGGCAGCTTGCCTGTTTGCCTGACTGTTTGACTTTGCTTAGGAGGCAAGGACTGTCAGGCTGTCTGCGTGCCTTGTAAAATATTCTTAAAAGTAAATTAAATAATGTGGCATGCCACAAGATGACGCACAAGCCAAGCACGAGCCACAAACAAAAAAGAGCAGAACAGCAACAGCAACAGCAACAGCCACAGCAACAACAGCAACAACAACTGACTTTAACTTTGACTTGAACTTATTTCATTTCATTTCACTTACGAGGCGTAAAAATGGAATCAACGCGTGCAAATTTAAATGCTCCTGTGTGTGGTGTGTGTGTGTGTGTGTGTGTGGCATGGGGTGGGTGCTGCTTCACCCCTTAAGCAGCATGTTTGATTTCTAAGCACAAATGGACGCCGAGTCCCAAGTGTGTCGTACAATTTGGCCAGCGCGTAAAAGAAAAAGTCCAAGAAAAGCAGTGCTCAATATAAAAGGGGTAGTTGTGCCACACCCCCTACCAGCCCCCTCCCCCCCCCCCACGCTTCGAGATAGCGAGAGCATACCTTTGGGGCAGCATCAAGGGTTGCCGCTTTTGGCATAAGCAATTTACAATAAAATGTGTTGGCCAAGGCAACAATCCAATTCTGCACGTGAGGGTGAAAAACTGAGCCAAAGTTGAAGTTGAAGTGGAAACTGAAGCAGAAACTGAAGCTGTCTCTTCTAGTCTAACGGTATTCGCATTTGCTGTATCTTTTATTTATGAACTGCGTTGCACGTCCAGCCAAACAAAGGGCTGCTGAGCGAGTCAAGTGCGAAGCTGCAAAAGCGCAAAACAACTTTTAGTCTTTGAGACTTTGATATGCAAATGATGCAAATTGATTTTCATGGCTTGCCTGAAATCTAATTGTCTGTATCCAGTTCGATATACGTATAATCTATATATATATGTATCCATATAACAGCAACTGCCACAAGCCGCAAACCAGTTTATTTAAAGCATGGCTTTTAATAACAAAAATAAAAAGAAATAAAAAAATCTCACAAATTATTATACAAAAATATAATGAACTTTAATAACTGCGGCCCGCCCCCCTCGCCGCTCATCATATTTACTTAATCATATATTCTTAAGGGTCTGCACTTGATTAAAAATTGCCAGGGCAACCCTGCCGCAAAGAAGCAATAAGTATAAAATGAGTTTTGTGGCAAGGCCTAAGAGCAGAAGTTGCTTAAGTAGATGCCGCTCATAATAATAATAAAGCGCAAATTGTGCTTCCTTGTTGCACACTCCTGTGGCAGTCAGTCAGGCAGTCGGCCAGGGTTGTCATACGCACCGGAAATGGCCAAATGAAATTGCGAGCAGATGAAATTGATTTTATTTATTTAGCAGTCAAGATTAACGGCTCACACACTCACACACACACGCACACGCAGATCATTTTTGTGGGTTGCCAGGGTTGCCAGCGCCCATCTCTATTTAATATGCATGAGCGCTTCAGCAAGTGGCGCCCCCCGTGACTTTAATGTGCTACAGTTGCAGAAAAAAAACACACACACAAAAAAAGAATGTACAAAAAAGTTGTCGCAAACATTTTAATTTCAATTTCAATTCCACTTTTCGTAGGCAATTATTTGCATAAAATTGAACCAGTTTATTGAAATATTATTAACTGGCGACAATGTTAACAATTTGCACGACAACCGCTTCAGATTTGCACATGTTGCATGCCACATTTTTTTTTTTTTGGGTGGCAACTCTCGCATTTTACGCAATTAATAAAGTTCAATGTGCAAACATTTGCAAAAAGTCGGTTGATAGTAGGAATGGCTTGGAAAGGGGATTGTGGGTGGTGGGTGTTGGGTGGGGTGTGGCAGGTGTGAGATTTCAACACTCTGGCGGTTTATTAAAATAATTAAGGTAATTATGAACAGGCGACTCCATGGACTCATAATAAATACCATTTATGGTTTGCACAATGAAAAAATTAAAGCGAGTAAAAAAATAATAATAAAATACTAAATGGTTTGATATTGCAGTTATTTAAGGGCTTAAATACAAAGAAGTGCACTTTGTGGCAAGAGTGGTTAAAATCATGGCAAAAATGTTTAAAATCTGCGCGATTAATATTTAAATGAGGGGTTTATGTGGATCCATTAAGTTAATGATAAGCTTGCTCAAAAAACACATCGACTGTGAGCATAAGATAAGTACAAAAGTGTCATTATTCAGTTAAAAGTTGGCACAAATTTAGGAAAAATCTGTGGCATTTCAAGGAAAGCTTGCAGACATAGAGCATCCTTAGTAATTCAATTAAAAATGAGTACACTGAGCGAGAATGAGTAAGCTTTGCTAATCAGCTGAAAGGTAGTCTAAATCCCTATTTGAATCTATTATAGGAATCCTTAATGTTTAAAGGAAAGCTATTGAAAGTAGAGTATGATTTAGAAGGAATATTTAGTAGATATTTGAAATAAAGTATTCCTGGTTACTCAATAAAAAAGAGTCTCAATTTGGAATATTTTGAATGCATGCTTTTTATTCAAAGGAAACATGTCATCGAGAGACTTTTATGTTCAGTCTAAATTTGAATGTTTTCTGAATATAATTAAATGTTGAAAATCGCTCGTTTTGCAACACTGCCACTCCTCCTGCCACACAGACGAAAGCCTCAATAAACAACTTGGCCTTAGGCAACGGGGATCTATTAACGGGGACCTATTATTCCATTATCCATTTCATAATATTTTTTTTTATTTTTCACGCCCCTCAACAACAACAACTTCCGCTTTTATGTGTTGACATTACGATTATTTTATTTCTATTATATAGCTTAGGCCAAAACAACAACAACAACAACAACAACAAAATAAAGCACAAATCAAAGGCAAAAGAAGAAAAAATGAAAAAATAAATAAAATTAGTTGCTATTTTATTTATAGGTTTTCTATGTTGTACGCAACACGATAACCTAAAACACACACACACACACACACACACACAAATACAAATACAAATACAATATGAATATGAATATGAATATAGATATGTATATGCATGGGCTATTCACATTCACATTCACATTCATATTCATATTTATTTGTCGTTGTTGTTGTTGTTGGCGCCCATAAAGGCAAAAATAATGTGCCACATCATAAATGCCACAAAAATGGCGCTAGACTCAAGTTGTTGCTGTTGTTTTTGTTGCTCCACATTTATTTTTCTTTTCCTTTTTTTTTTGCGTTGGACATTCATAGTCATTTATACACAAACACACACGCACACACACAGATACACACACACACACACACATACACACACACACAGATACAACACACGCACATGCAGATAGCAAATGGAGCAAGTTGTTGAGGCAACACTTAAAGCGGCAGCTTTCTGCTATCTGTCTCTGTGTGTGTGTGTGTGTGTTTGTAATAAAGATACTCTCTCTGTGAGTGTGATGTGTGTGTGTGTGTGTGTGTGTGTGTTGTGGACATGGCTACAACCTCAGAGATGATGAAGCACACCAACAACAACAACTACAACAACAACAATATTTGCTTGTGTGCGTGTCTTTTGGGTTGCTCTTTCTCTCTCTCTCTCTCTGTCTCTCTCTGTCTCGCTTCATTCCGGTCTGTGTGTTCGTGCGGTCAGCAAACTTTAATGAATATGTATGAAAATCGCTTGTAGCAACTGCTTCAGCCAAACCCAACCCACACCCGCCCCTAACCAATGACCCTCGACTCAATTTCAGTGCCAACTTTTTGGGCTTATAGCAAAATCGATGCACAACATTGTTGTTGTTGGTGTTGTTGTTGTTACTTCAACACTTGTTGATGTTAATGAGAGCTGGCACAGGAGAGCACAAAAAGCGCAAGAGAAGAACGCTTTAAGAGCAAAGAGTAAAAATACTTTTGCTAAAATGAGCGTAAAAAGTTGCAGGGAAATTTAATCTCTGCATTGAAGATCGCCTGCGCTTAAAATATCCCTCTGCTTATTTCCCTGCTTATATTTCCCTGAGCATACATATCCCGGCCCCCCACTCTCTTAAGAGCTTAAGCTCCGCACTAAACTTTTGCTCACACACACTCATTACATCAAATAAATGTTTAGCTACAACTCAATTATAATACAACCCACTAAAATACACACACACACACACACACAAAAAAGGCAGATAAACTTTTTAAAGCGAGCAGTGAAGAGTTGAGCAGTTCTCCCTTAACCTCTATCTCTCTCTCTTAAAGGTCGGACATTTGCTGTGCGTGCAAAAATCTTTGGCTGCTCGCTAACACATTGCACTAACACATGTACACGCATGCATATATGCCTGTGTGCGTGTAAACTACAGACAGGCAGCGCTGAGTTGTAGTTGTTGTTGTTGTATGCACTTTGTATTTTTTTGTTTGCCTTTAGTGTGGTTATTTTTGCCGCAGATTTCATTTGGTTTCCAATCTGACAACTCCTTTTTTTAATATTGTTTTTTTTTTTTGCTTTTGCTTTTGTTTTGCTCTTTTTTTAGTGTAGAAAGCAAATTGTTTTACTTTTTGCTCCTCTTGATGTAACTGTGTTCGCTCTGTGTGTGTGTGTCGGCCATTTCTCACGGGTTTTTTTGCCATTTGTGTGTTTAAAATTTCAATTTAATTTAGATTTGGTTTTAAGACTGCAAACAAACACACACACACACACAGCCAGACACACACACACGGATGCATTTAGGTCAGCGCTGGAAAGTAGACTACATTAATTTTCGTTTGCGTTTCCGTTATTTTGTTCTTGTTGTTGGTTGTTTTTTTGTTCTTGTTTGTTGTTGTTGTTGTTGTTGTATCCTTGTTGCGGGACTTTAGCAAATGAGTTTTCACAGTTATAAATGCATATGCATAGCTTATAATGTTTATTTGGTTACGCATTTGTTTCGCGTGGCATTAAATATTTGGCTGCCCAACACTTAGCCTCGATTTATTATGCAACACTTATTTATGTACATTAAACAAAGTGTGCTTCAGCTTTAGTTCAAATATTAAAAATAATACAAATTAAATTTATAATAATTTTATGCTCAATCTTAATACAATGGAATACCATGCAAGCAACATGTTGCCAACCGCAAAGCAGCAACACTCTTCAGTTAGTTCAGCAAAAGCAAACCGCAAGCCACAGATCAGATTTCAGGCAAAGGCAAAGTCAAACTTATGCAGCAGAAAACAGCTGCACTTAATTAGAGAACCAGCTCCAGCCGCGCTCTTCACACTCTTCCATGTTAAGCATATTTTTATATATATATATGTATGTGTATGTGTGTGTGTGTGTGTGTACTTACTTCCAGACAAACAGCGAAGAGATGAGCACAATGAGCACGAGGAGCAGGGAGAAAACCGCAATCATCGCTGAGGTGGCCAGTGATTGGCTGCTGTACAGGCTGGCATCCAAAATCTGCAAGAGGGAAGAGAGAAAGAGAGAAGAGCATGAGTTCAAATTACTTAAGAGTGGAGTGAAAAGTAAAAGTAAAAAAAAGTTCAAGACGATGCAAATCACGGCGCAACTCAAACACAAAGCCATTTTGCATGCCAACAAACAAACAGAAAAGGAAACAACAGGCTGAAAAAAGAAGAAGAAAACAACAACAACAAGAAGAAAAAAAAAACGAAGTGGAAGAAAGAGCACAGAATTTCGGTAAATATGCCTAACGAATAGCAAACAAAAGCGCACGCCGCTGTTAACCTTTTAAACGTGTAAGTGTATGTGTGTGTGTGTGTGTGTGTGTGTGTGTGTGTGTGTGTGTGTGTGTGTGTGTGTGTGGCTGCCTGTGTGTGTGCTGTGTTCTCCGCATTCTTAAGATGGCTACAATTGAGTGGGCGCTCTTCTTCTTCTTCCTCCTCTTCTTTTGGCAATCAACCAAATTAAGGTCAAAAAACCTAAGGAAAAAATGTGCCTACTCAACAACAACAACAACTAAAAGAAGAAAATTAAGAAGAAGAAGAGGAAATGAAAGTATTTAGCATTGCCTAACTGTAATAAAAAGAAGAACTTTTGCTCAGATTCAATTTGACTTTGTTGCAAATGCCAAAAACCACAAAAACAAAAACAAAAAATAAAAATTAAAAAAAAATGTTTGCCATCAAAGATAAACTGGCAGTTATTTTAATTTGCTATTTATTTGTATTTATTTTGATGCTGCTGAAAACATTTTTGCTCTGAATGAATTTTGCTTCGCACCTGTCAAACACACACACACACACACACACAAGGATCAAGACACACACACACGCATAAATCACTCAAATGCATTGGGAAAATGTTTTGATGAAAGAGTAAGCGATTGAGATGGAGAGAGAGCGGGAGAAAGAGAGAGAGAGAGAGAGGGAGACAAAAGCTGCGCTCGATGCACAAATTGAGGTCAAGCTTTGACAGCTGTGCAAATAAGTTTGCGCCCAGCGTCAACCAGTGTGTGCACAACTGCAGCAGAGTGTGTGTGTGCAGTGTGCATTGTGTGTGTGTGTGTACAGTGTACACACAATATGTAGGTCGACGCTTTAATTTGTAATTGCGATTTTGTGCATACACTAATTTATTAATAAATACTTTTTCGTTGATTTATTTGCACTGCTCACACACACACACACTCTCTCTCTCTCTCTCTCTCTCTCTCTCTCTATCGCTCTCTATCTCTCTCTGTCACTCGCTCACAATTAATCATTCAAAATGCCAGCTGAGCACAAACAACAAGCAGGCTAACGATAACAAAACCCGCTCCCAATTCATTTGAATGCGAGATAAGCTATTAAAATATTGACAGACGTTGACGTATGGCGAAATTGTTTAAACTATTGCGGCAACACTGGAAGCTGGAAGCACCCTCTACCTCTCCCCCCACCCCCCACCACCTCTACTCCATCAAACTGTTCGGCTTATCATAAAGAAATTTGTTTTCATATTCATTTGGTGTTCGAGAATTGTTTTGAAAACAATTTACGGACACACAGCCAAAATCCGTAGCATTTTGAAACTGAGTCAAACAAATAAATAACAATAAATTAAACAATTATGCGTGCTGCAAGCCAAAACGATGGCGGGGGGGGGGGGGGGGGGGGCGAGGGGAGTCTGCGACTCAAAAGTAACAGCACAAAGAAAATGAAAAGGAAAAACGAAAAACCAAAAAAAAAGAAAAAAAATAAAACTCTCAAAGCTCATTGCTCGTAATCAAATTGATTAATGAGCTGCGGCGTTCCACTGTGGCACAGTCATCTGAAGTGTGGCAGTCTGCTGAGTGTTGGAGGAGGGGCAAGTAGTGGTTGCCGGAGTGTTTGGGGGGAGGTGCGGTTTCACCCAACACAACAAATAAGTAACGGAAGCTGTTGCTCTTTGGTGGCCTGTTGAGTGCTCTACATCAGCAATTGATCGCCCAACTTTGATAACATTTATTTCTTCTTCCACTCCCACAGAGTGTGGGGGAACTTTAATCGCATTGTGTTGCCAACACTGGATTTGAGTGCCGAGAACGTTCTTAAGTCGAAGAATTAAGTCAAAACTAACAAACTAACTAATAATAAAGAAAACATTTAATTATGCATAAATCTAAGTTTGAACTCAGTTTAGTATCGATTTATTTGACAATATTCAAGTAATTTAAGTTAAGTTTCTTAATAATAAAAACTTTTTAAAAAACTTGCACTTTTTGTAAGCTTTTCTTGCTAAGAAATAATATATTTTTTTAATAAATATAGAAGCATATCCATATGCTCTACTCAAAGGTGCACTACACTGAGCTGTTTTACATGCCCCTAAAATGCCCTACAGCTGATAATGTGAAAATCACACTTACGACATTCAATTCTCTAAAGGTAACGAAAAGAAAAACGAAAAACGAAAAAAGAAAAGTTTACAGGGAAAATGAAATAATGAAATTTCTTTTGTCTCATTTTTGATTTTGTGCCTTGGTTTCTTTCACTCGCTTCTCCAACCGCAGGCAACCGATAAATCTATGTATGAATGGGCGCAGTGTTTGTGTTTAATTTTTACCTATTTGTAATGCTCATTTCGTGGTGGGACAATCGAAAGGGGCAGGGGGAGGGGTATAGCAGGAAAGGGGTTTAAATTACACATTGCGACAGTTTTTGGCCGCCAGCTTACAACTGCCGACCGTCAGCTGCAGATGGGGATTAGCCCCGTCCCCAACAAACAACGAGATAAAATGTTAAGCAGTATGAACTTAGCAGCCCCGCCCCTTCCCTCCCGCAAGCATTCAGCACACACACACACAGACACACACAGTGAAAGAGTTGTGCGTCTTATCAATAAGAGGCAGTGGCAAGCAGTGGCAGTGGCAGCGGCAGCATTTCGTCTGTTTGCCCAGATAAGCAGCGTGTGTTGAACTCTTCCAGTAGGAGTTATGCCTGTGTGGCATGATTGAAGGCTTTCCATCGCAAAACTGGGTGAGCCGTGGCAACTCTGGGCATATAGGTAGCTGCACTCGTAAATTAATAATGCGAGCGCTGGGCAAACACTGGCCACACCAGATAACACCGAACGATAACAGTTTGAACGATTTATGTGTAGGCAAATAGGCACAAGTAAATACGACGATAAAAATAATTAAGCCACAAGACAAAAACAACAACAAAAAAGAAACAACAAGAAGCGGGAAGAGAAACATTTCAGCTATGAATTTATTTCATTCATTTCACAAAAGTTGAACAGCATTAAAAGGCTGCCGGAGCAATTAGCCAGTGTTGGCAAAAATGGGTTTTGAGGCAACTCATGAATAACTAGGGTATCTCAAGTTGAAATCTGACCCAGATTCAGATTTGGGGGCTGCCACCTGCCCGGTTGGTTGGTTGCTTGCTGGTCTCAAAACTCGACAAAACTTTAAGTTAACAACTTTTTGCACAAAGTGCTCGAACGCGTTTTCATTTGCCTGATGAAAAAACACAAAACTTTGCAACTCTAAAAAACAAAGGCAAGTGTTGCACAGGGTGTGCCAAGGGTTATGTGTGTGTGCGTGTGTGATTTGGAGGCTTGCAACAAGCACGTGCCACACCAGCAGGCACAACAGCAGCAGCAACCACAACAACAACAGCAACAACAGCAACAACAATAACAACTTGGCACACTGATAACATGGTAAAAGTTTCTACATGCGTTGCATGTGTAACGCCATTTTCAACACTGGCAACAAAGCAGGCAGGCAGCAACCAACTTCGATTTCGTTGCACGTGCATATCGACGTGCAATTCGCTTGCCCCAACCCACTCTTTTACACCTTTTTTAAACCCCTCCTGCCCATCTCCCCTTCTTGGTTGTGTGTGTGTGTTTATGTTGGCAACTTGGCGCAGTTTTTTAACCACTTGACAGTGCAATTGTTTGGAAACAACTCGTGATTGAGATGCATTCCACTTGTTCTACCTATCTCTCGTTTTCTCTCTCTCTCTCCCTCTCTCTCTCTCTCTATCTCTCCCTCTCTCTATATATTTAGCTTTCTGTTCTTTTCTTTTGACACTTTTGTTTTCAGGCAAAAGGCATCTAGTCAAAGTTGCTTGTAATGAGTTGAAAAATAACTTGCATCAACTGAAAAGCGAAATGGGAAAATGTCAACTTCACGCCTCTTCTAAAAAGTTATTCCTTTTACTTGCTGCTCACTTAAATAAAGTTTCAGCAATTTCTATTCTCCAAAAATTAATCAGAAAATGCTATTTCCAAATGCATTTTATTATGGCCATTAAAAATGTGACAAATACTGTGCTGAAATTCTGCAAAAGTATATCAGAGGCAGAAGGAAACATCTTCGACCACATAAAGTATATATATTCTTGATTAGCATAATAGTCGAGGCGATTTAGCTGTGTTTGTCTACAGGAATAAGAGCTAGAGACTTTAAAGTCTTTTCTTGCATTCGATAGGCAAATCAAGTTTATCTCATGGATTATATTAAATATATTATATTATTGAAGGATATTGAAATACTTCTTAAAAACTGAGAATTTTTGTAATAGAATTATTAATGTAATACGAAATTGACAACAGAAAAATAATCACAGTATATAAAAGAGATGCACATTTTTACCCAACTTGAAATTGAATCTTTGAGTATATTTAAATGGTTGTTTAACTGTAACTTATCCGGCTATGCCAATTTCCTACACACCTTTTTTTTTTTTAAATTATATGTATATATATATTATATATAAATATATGTGTGAAAATTCCATTTTGTGCTAACGTTCGTGCAGAAGTTGCAGACGATTTATTTATTTTGTATGCGCTCGATGTTTTATGTTTGTTGCGCCTGTCTGCAGCTGTGTCTGCTATGTGTCAACTGTAAACAACATCAACAACCTCGCCTCGCTTCGCTCTGTCGCCCCACCTCCACCTCCACCCGCACCCCACTCGCCATCACCCTCCCCATCAACATCATCATCATTATCGTCTTGAGCCAGCGCGCCGAAAAGCAGACTACAAAACTATGCAACATTTTGTAGACAATGGAATGCACGAGTATTTTGTTTGGCATTCGCACGACATTTGATATCAATGTCAAGACGTTTGACACCCCCCACCCCACCCTCTCTCTTGATACCACCAACCCACCCAAGTCTACTTATTTAAAGCGATTTCTCAGCAAACTTGAAACATTTTTGCTAAAGCCAAATAACGTGGGGGCAACCAAGAAAAAAAAGAGAGAAAAAGAAATAAGAAAGGATTATTTTGCTGCCACGCCCAACTGCAATCAGTTTGAGCTGCTTTGCTCCAATCTTTTTCGTATTTTTTCCAGCTTGTCAACTTGCTGCTTCTTGTTGCTGTTTTATTTCAGTTTTTTATATATAAATATATATATATATATTTTTTTTTTTTGGGTTCCCTCGTCGCGCTCTAAATTTAATTTCGCATGTTTGACGCGTCGTCCTCGTATCCCTGATTCAGTCCCTGCTCCAGCTTTCCTATATGGCTCCAGTGATTCCTTTGCTTGCTGTTGCCACTTTAAAGACGTATTTACCCTGTTTGCCAACTTGCTGCATGTGCATGGCATATTCGCACTTTAGATTGACACAGCAAAGCTTTGTCTGACTGCATTTTGATTAAAATATAAGAAATATAACCGGAGCGTAACTCATTGTCTAGCATGTCCAATGTTCTTAAATTCATTAATATCCTTTAAGAAATATATATAAAATATACAGAAAGGGTAACTTATTATTATATTTTTATTATTTTATTTATTTTATTTTTTTTCTTGTGCACCTTTTTCTCAGCTAGGGTAACTTATAGTCAAGCACTTTCTGTGCCTATTTATTTCTTCTCCTTTTGCGTTCACCAGTTGACAAGTACGCCCCTTTCCCCTCCCCCCACACCTCTCACACACACATACACACACACACACAGTGCTACCAAATTGGCACAATTCCCCGTTAAACTTATCAATTTGATGAGAGAAAATTTCCCACACACGCACACTCACACACACACACACACACACGCACGCACATGAATCGCTTAAGACTACCCAGCTTCCCCTCTCTCCCCACCCCCCCTTTTGCCTAGCATCTGCGTGCCTTGAGTTTGGCATTTTTTAACGCTAATCCATTAAATTGATGCTGATGGCAATTGAATTTAAGCTGCTTCGCACAGATTTCAAGCGTATTTCACCTCAATGCCAGTTAGCGGGAGCATGAAATTGCATTTCGATAAACGATAGACGCAAATATCGATAAACCGTTGAGTGGATATATATGCAGAGCTTTAATCCTGACATTAAGTGCATATTAACGTTTGATTTGTCTGCATAAATCAGGTAACTGACAAACTCTCAGAGATGGGAGGGGAGGGAGGCGAGGTGCGGGGGAGTTTCAAGTGGCCACACACACACACACACACACGCACAGCACGCACAGCCCGTTATCGGGACCACACACGCAGAGATCGAGTCTGACTTTTGGGTTTTTTTGTTTATTGAAATTTGCGTCTGTTACATAAATGTCCAAAATTAAGTGGAAAACACTTCAGTTGCACTGCTCATCGACCGATGTTGGAGCTGCACCCCAACCCACATCGAAAAAAGAAAAATATGCTGGGGAAAATAGATGGGGAAAGCAAGTTGCTTGCAGCCGCAAGAGGCACGTGAGTCTCTCACTCTCTGTCTCTGCCTCTGTCTCCTATGCTTATCACTCAAGTGTTGATGTGGAATTTGATCTTGAGTTTGGTTTTCTTTGCTTTTTTCCTGCTCTTCTCCCTCTCTCTCTCGCTGTGTGAGTTTTCCGCTTGTTGCCTAAACAAACACTCGAGCGATTAGAGCCAGTGCCGGGTTACAGTTGAACAAAGTTCTTCAGTTTTTCTTCTTTCTTATACAATTTTGGTGTTATTTTTTTTTATTTTTTTTTTAATAAAATAATTTGTAACATTTTTGTGTAACCGCTGACAATCTTTAACTTTGGGCTTGGCAGCAGTGTTTGAATTCGTTACGCCTCACAAGGCCATATGTTGCCACTTTACAACCAACCCCTGCCACCCTGTCCACCCTTTGCCACGCCCCTGTTGTTGCCAACTACTTGGGCTGTCCTTTTTTGTACTGTGCTCTGACGCTTAACTTTTCATTGTTATTGTAATTTGTTGCTGTTGCCTGGCCAGCAGACAGGATTGGGTTGCCTTTTCGGTTTGGGTTTCTGTTTGTATTTGGGTTTGAGTTTGAGTTTGGGCTGCTTCTCCTGGCCAGACTCATAATGATGACGTTTTTTGTATATCCATATACATATATATAAATTTACTTCTCTTTTCATTTTTTTCGTTTATTTTTATTTTTGGGTGGGAGGCATCAACAGCTGTTGCTCGGGCAACCGCTAAGACTTCAAGGAGCCAGCACTTTAAAAGTGTTGCCTTGCGGTTCTCCATCTGTGTGTTTAAGCACAAAAACAAGACAAAATTATTGAAAAACGAAACGAAATGAAAACGTGGGCATCATCTTTGTATTTTGTGACTGTCTACGTGGGCCTACAAATTTAAATGGCTTTAAAAAATGGAAATTATTTCTTGCATTTTGCTTGGTCCTTTTGGAAAAGGTCTCAGCCAAAATGCTGATTCAATTTATAGTTGCCCAAGTAACTGATTGATAGAGTTGCTAAATGAAGCGCTTCATATATAAACAAATATAAAATTATTGAGATATTTTTATCGATTTAAATTAAGTACTACTTTTCTTTGAAGTTTTCTACTTTTTTTTACTTACTATGCTTAGAACGCCTTCTCTCTAGACGGAAAACTTATAGATATGAAAAATAATAACAATTCTTTTCAAAACTTTTCTTGTGTATCGTTTAGTAGCGGAAACTTTGGGTGAACAAAATGTTAGACTGTCATCTAATGCCAAGAGAAGCTTTACACAATGTAGTATTTAAATAGAATTCATACATTTTGTATACAATATTCAAATTTTCCAAGAGCATGAAAAAATAGTTGAAACTTTCATTAACAACATGTGCATTGCATGTAAAAGTTCGGTTTAACATTTGCCGCCTTTTTTTGCGACAGATTTCCGCAGCAGCAGCAGCAACAATGCCGAACAATGCCGCACAATCAGTTCAAGTGTCAAACACTCGACTTTTAACACTTGTGCTGGCAATATACTGCCACACCACCCCCAACCCCCACTGTACCACTCAGCCAGCACCACCACCTCAATTAAAAGAAAGAAAGGCGCATTATTCTTATTGTTGTTGTTGCTGTTGTTGCTGTTATGCATAATGCAATAATTCAATGAGGCAACATAAATTTCTGACACCTAAGCAAAATCACAACAGATGTGTGTTGTGGTGTGAGTATATATAACCATATATGCAGGTCTAGTTTAGGGTTGCAACCCTACTGTTTGGAAATTATGGGAAAGTAGAAGTGCAAGTAGTACTTACCGGCATTGCCTGGCAGACATCGCTGTCCCATTGCTGTTGCGCCAGTTGCTCCTCGTTGCAGTCCTGCGGCACCACTGTGTACTCAGCGAGGGCTGGCGGTCGCGGTGGGGGCGGTATCAGAAATTGTGGGGGCGGGGCCAGCGGCATGCCAGCGCACTCATCACAATCGAACACAAAGAGATCGGCATCCATTATGGTATCCAACATTTTCCACATTTGCAATGGCTTTGCAACTTTTTTTCCTCTGTTTTTGATTTGTTTTTTTTTTTTTTTTTGGTAAATGATTTTGGTCGTGTGTCAGTGTGTTCGGTGTATGTGTATGTGTGTGTGTGTGTGTGTGTAGATGTCTGTGTGTTTCCCTTTAGAGATCGTGGACTGCGTGTCAAATGCGTTTCCTGATCGCTGTCATCGTTGGACAGCCTTCAACGGCGTCGGCGCTGCAAAGGAAAAACAATCAAGAAAATGGACATCTTTTGATTAGTTAGGGATTACATCAAAATTGTGGTGTCCTTTGTGCTTGGACAACAGCTGGCGATTGTTTTGTCTATCTCTCTCTCTCTCTCTCTCTCTTTCTATCTCTCTCTATCTCTCATTCTCTCTCTATCTCTGTCTATCTCTCTTGCCTTCTCATTAGCTGGCGACTCGAATTCTGGTCACGTAACAGTTGCTTTGGCTAATAACTAGAACTGATCCTGGGTCACACTTCCTTTGGCACATGCAAAAAGTTTAGATAACCCCGCCCCCTGCCCACTTTTCACACCCCTAGAAACTGGCACGATCCTAACGGTTTTGTGTGCCGTGTGTCCTTAAAACCCACCCCAGTTTGGAGAATGTTAATTTTTATTGATTTTGCTTAATGCGTTTTTATTTTTTACGTATTTATTTTTATTTGCTATGGCTTTTGTTGTTGTTGTTGTTTTTGTTTTGCTGTTGTTGTTTTTGTTTTTGTTGTTGTTGTTGGGTGCTGTTTTAGCCCTTCCAATTTTATTACTCTTGAGCTAAATATACATTGGGTGTTTTACTCTTTTTTTTTCCTCTGGCTAAATGTGTCGAGTCATTGGCAATTGTTTTAACCCCTCTGCCGCCGGAATGTTGCCTTGTTTCTTTTTTATGATTATTATTATCCTTTTTGGTTGCGGTTCTCTTGTTATTTTTCACACATATGCTGACAAAATAATTGAAACCCAAAATTCCCCTGGCTGACAGTTATCGATAAATGGCTTTGAGTATTCATATTATTACATTACTCGATGCATATTTGATTTACTTGCATCGATTGCCGACATGTTATCGATAACTGCCAGCTTAACTTGACAGTCGCCTCCGAATTGAGTCCATCAATGCAAAAAAAGAGAAAAAATGCAGCATTCTCAGCCTCGTCCAAGTCCATGTGGCTTAAGCTCTCGCTGACTTGGATGGTCTGGTCTGGCCAACTACTCCACTTGACAGCCGGGAAAACTCAAGAGTTGCTGCTGCTGCTGCTGCTGCTGCGTGGGGTAGCCATGGAAGAGACGTGGCCAGAGAGGGAAGGGGATGCAGCAAGCGCAGGCAACATATGTTGCCAGTTGGGCCATTTAATTAGCTGCACAGCGAGCTGACAGTTGTCAGAGAGTGTGGCACTGACTGAACAGTCAAACAGACCAACCAAGAGAGAGAGAGAGAGAGAGAAGAGGCAGGCAAGCAAGCAGTCCAAGCAAAACTGATAAGATCTCAAAAGAAAAAAAAAACACAATCGTTGCTGTTGTTGTTGCTGTTGTCTTGCAATCAAATGTAAGCCGCTGTTGACATTGGAGATTAAAAGATATTATAAAAAAAACGAAGCGAAGACGAAGCCGAAGTCGAATCTGACACACACACAGAGCTGCATTTGGGCAGCAGAAGGAGGAGAGAGACTCCAACTCGAACTTCAAATAATACAATGTGACAGACAGGCAGACAGACAGAGACACAAAGAGAGAAAGAGCATGACATTGAGACAGAGAAAGAGAGAGAGAGAGAGCTGAATACAAACACAAAACATGTCAAAGATGAAATGTTGTAAGGAAAATTGAATTGAATGGAATTGGAATTGGAATTGAAACGAAGTCAAACTAATAAATAACAACAAAATAAAATATAATAAAAAAAACTACAGACTCAATAGTTGAGTTAGAGCAACTGAAAGATGCCCTGCAGCATCGAAACTAAGTTATTAAATAATAAGAACAATAATAAAAGAGGTAAAAAGTTTTTTCTATGATTTTTGTGTGGAAACAAAACTAAAGTAAGCAAGTAATAAATATAATAATAGTTATAAAAAAAATAAATAAATGTCAGCAAATAGAAGCAGGTAAATACATCAAATCAAAATCCTTCACTTAGGTTTACAGAAACTACAGGGTATACGATAAGCGTATCACTAATGCAATATTGAATCGCAGCAGCAAAATGCAACTCAAACCAAAATCTCAACTTAAAGCTTTAGTTTTTTTGTTAGCGTTTTCTTTTCTTTTCTTTTTTTTTTTTTTTGAATACACGCTTTGTGTTCTCGCTTTTTCTTTTATTTATTTTTACTATTGCTTGTTGTTGCTGAAAATCGATTGAATTGTCTCGCAAGACGCGTAACTGAAGCTGTCTGCTGATTAGCTTTTGAAGCGGCCCATTAAAAGCTGCTGGGCTGCAAACCCCAAAGGAGCGGCGAAAATAATGAAATAAATCGCGCTGAAAAACTTCAACTTGGCCAAAAAACGAAAAGGAAACGAGACGAGGACGAGACCAGTCGAGTCGAGACGAGACGAGACGAGACGAGACGAGAGGACTCGAAATGAAGGCGAAGGCAAACAGAGCACGATTGAAGCAGTGGAGAGGAGATGACAACAGACAGACGAGACAACGAAATCGATTTGTTTCGAGATTAAGTCTGGGACGCATTCAAAGATTCTCCTGGGACGGTTCCTGTGAGTCCGTCCAAGCGTAAAACGGAAATGTTATGGACGCGCCAAGGAAGCGCAAATGAAAATCAAAGTTCTGCTCCTTCAAGGTGAATCGATGGGGTAATTAGCTGAAGCACTCAAAAGGTTTGCGGGGGGAGGGATGGTGGGCGGGGGATGTTAAATTTGTGATAAGAATGAATCAAAGTGAAATGCAAGCAATTAGATAATTGGCTTAAAGTTGTTGGTGTGTATGGGGGGAGGGGGGGTGAGGTTTGGTTCTCAAGATACTTTTGTGAAGACAGCTGCGCTGCAGCTTGTTATGATAGCAGAGCACAGCAGAGCCGGCAAAGAGAAGCACTCAAGGATGGAAGTAGACAAAGGTCAAAGGTCTCCACTCAAGGATGCAAAGAGAGAGAGGGAGAGAGCGAGAGAGAGAGAGATATACTCAAGCCCTCGTTTATTTCTTTGAGACGAGTTGCACACTTAAAGCAGGCGTGCAACCCTTTCGAATTAGTTACTAGAAATTGTTACCACTTACTAACCACTTACTTTCTCAGCGGCACTTTCACCCATCTAACTGATTTATGTGCCCCATGCAACTAGGCACTTGAGGAGAAATGAGTATATAAAAACACAACAGCTGTCTACAATTTAATTGAATTGTTCTTCTAAAACACAAATGTTCGATTGCTCTATGGGATATATCAAAATTAGCCGGACAATTGTCAGGGGTTGTATTCGGTTTTCTACTTTTGCCTTTTTACCTCGACTATGTTTCAGTTCCTCTTGTTATTATTATTTTTTTTTTTTTTTGCCACGCATTTAAATGACTCAATCGTTGCTATTGGAAAGCCAAACCACGTTTCGGGTCAGCAACGGCAACGGCAACAGCAACAGCAACAGAAACTCAGGTAACAGAAACACATTTATTAGCTACAATGATAAATGTTCTTTCCAAGGATCGACAGCAAAGCGTTCTCTCTCCCTGTCTCTCTCTCTCCCTCTCGCTCTCTATGTCTCCGTCTCTGCCGCGACATTGTCTGAACGTGTAATTTTAATTCGATTTGGGCATTGCCAGTTGTAACTGATATGGGTGCAGCTCAGGTAGTTCCACAAAAAACAAGAAAAGAAAGAAAACCCGAAGCTGAGAGAATTGAGACATTTGATGTAGTTAGTAGTAGTTTGGGCAAAACGATAAGTGTTATGGGCACTGCGGGATAACAATTTGAACAATTTTCCAATATGTGGTACAGAAATGTAGCAGGCCAAGGGAAAATCCACAGAATACAGTTATCTATTGCAAATTGAGTAGGCACTCTGCAAACGCTGATAAGGGGGGGAGGAGGAAGTAGTGTGTTGATCAAAGTAAGTGAAATATATTATGATAGAATTGAAATAGTTTTAAGAATAGCTGTGCACAAACTTTAAGCATCGAGTGAATGCTTAACTCAAGCGGAAAATACTTTCAAACTTAAATTTATTGTCTTTGCAAAATGGATTTATGCAATTGTTCAATTTACAATTGCCTCGAGAGATGCAAGCACAAATATAAAAACTAAACTATATTCTCTCTCTCTCTCTCTCTCTCTCTCTCTCTCTCTCTCCCGCTCTCGTTCTCTTTGGAGCGCTGCTGGGAATTAGCCAAAACAAAATCCGGGCTAAATTATGCAGCAGCAACTTGAGCAACTTTTGCCTTGGTTTACATATCATTTATTATTTGTTGTCCACTCGCTCGAGGTGTGTTTTGGGGGGTGTGGTGTGGTGGGGGGGTTCATCAACTAACATTGTCACGCCCCATGCGACCAACCACATTACGCAAAACTTTTAAATAAAGCAACGCGCCTCGTTGAAGCACAACAACAACAATAACAACAACAAACAACAGCAGCAACAAGAAAAGTAGATGAAGAAGCAGAGGCAGTTGACGGGCATGTCACATCAATGTCACTCAGCATTAAGAGCAAAAGCGCGCAATAAGACTGACTGCAAGGGGCGGTGGAACGGAGAGGGGTGGGGAGGTAAGCATGTCCTGTGAGGACAACGATAAAGTTTGTTTTCTTTTGCGCTCTCGCCTCGCTCTCTCCCCATCTCTGTCACACTTCTTGCGCTTCCCTCTCTCTCTCTCTCTCTCTCACACAGTGGCCGCCGGGCAGCTGAGCATGAAAAAAAAACGGCGGCATTTTACCTACCCCTGCTCCACACTCCCCGCCCTCCCAGCTATCCATACAAGTCCTGTGTAAGTCCTGCCTTTTTTCACGGCTTTCGTTTTCGTTTTTTTTCTTTTTTTTTTTTTTCTTCTACTTTTTGCGTTGTGCGAGAAAATTACAAGCGCATAACAAATATTTTGTTTTGAGATTCTCTTCTTTTTTTCAACATTTCGCTCATGCCACAAGATAAAATATATATATATATATACATGTTTTTTTTTTTTTGGTTTTATTTATATGTTACAAATTTTCGCGTGCGTTTTGTTTGTACTTTTTGCTTGTGTTCATCTTTTGAGCATTTCGTTTGCGTTTTCGTTTGAGTTTGAGTTTGGCCTATTTGCATAAGGTGCTTAGCGAGTGTTTTTTCTAAGCCGCTTAGCATATGGCAGCAGACAATTCACAATGAGCTTCTTCTTGTTTTTCACTATAAGTCACAATTGATTCATGATTTTTTTCTTCCTTTTTTTTCTCTGCATTAAATTGCTGATTATTGTAAAATTCCCACAGCGCTGACTTTAATAAAGCCATTGACAGTCACAATAGTTTTTTGTCAACTCGTTCTTTTTTTTCCAGTCACAATTTACGTTTTATACAAATATATTTCAGCCTAAACAACGCGCTGGGCATACTAATTAGCCAGAGAGAGAGAGAAAGGGATGAGAGAGAGGGAGGGAGAGGGAGAGGGAGAATGGGCGGCAGCCAAACAAATAAATTTGAAAACAAACAGCAAACGGAAATCCTGTGAGCCTTTTTTCTGTATTTTTCTTCTTCTTTTTTTAATTTTGTTTTGTTTTAACCGTAAAAGGTAAACATGTGTAAAGCGATTAATGTGGTGGGAGTGACGTGTTTTCAATTAAAATCCACTTTGGGCCAAAGTTCAACTTTTCCAACATGCGTTTTTCAACACTTTGCACTGACTTTGCGTGCTCTTCTTCTTCCTCTCATTCTTCTTCTTCTTCGTTATTGCGTAGGCTTCTCAAGATTGAGTTATTATTTATCTGGTGTGCAACTCGGTTGAACAGCTCGTGTCTTAAAGATATGCTCGCCTGCCACTTGCAGCAAGACTCGTTTTATGTGCCACAAATTTATGAGTTATGTGCCTTGCCTTATTTGCCCAAAGGATTAAGGCGTTGGGGTAAATAAGCAGGGGCAGTGGCAGTGGCAGAGGCAGACGAATGTATGTAAAAAAATTATCTTAAGTTGCCGCCAAATGTGGCGAGCTGTTTGTTGCACTTGTTGCGTGTTGCGGCTTTGCTAATAATTTAAGCAAATTTACTTAAAGCCAAACAAAGGTGTGTGTGTGTGTGTCTGTGTGTGTGTCTGTGTGTGTGTCTGTGTGTGTGTGTGTCTCATAAATGACACAAGTGCTGTGACTTTAATTTTACATATTTTTATTTACTTTTGCCTTTTTCACTATTTGTTTATAATTAAAGCTTTTGTCGGCGCTTTTGTCGTTGTTGTTTGTTCTTCTTCTTCATTTTAAAACTGATTTGTTTGCTTTTCTAGTCTTGTCGCTTTTAGATAAAGACAACGAGTGAGTCAGAGATAGAGAGAGAGAGAGAGAGAGGGAGAGAGAAAGACAGAGACAGACAGAGAGCATTAGTCAAATGCATTTCTATTGATTCTTTGAATCACACTCAAAAAACAAACGTGATTTTTTTTATTGTGCATGTTTGAACAGCTGATATCTGTTTTTGAATATATCCATTTCAGTAATTGAGAAATATTTTCTATCTAATAATATCTCTTACTGGGCGGGGCTTACTCTTTACGATAGCAATACTTTATTTTTATATATACAAAACTTATATGATTTATTTTTACTATGTAAAATCTGACGAAACTGATTCATATGGGTAAACTTGAAGAAAGATGACTGAGATGTCATTTAAAAAGTAATCCAGAATGGAGTTTAAAAATTATATATAATAATAATAATTATATATATAATAATAATTATATATATAATATAATCAGAAGAATTAATTGAGAATACATTTTAGAGCAAAACTCGACGAGAGTTTAAAATGAATCAGAAAGAAGAGTTTATTATGTATTTACACATATAGTCAAAAATCAATTAGAAAATGGCACTTAAAACAATTATAAAAGAGAATTCAAAGACTTTATATATATATATATATATTAAACACTATATACACTTATAGGTATAATATATACCCCTGTTTGCTAATAGATATTTTGCTATATACATCTTGATTTCAATGTATTTCTCTTTATTAAATTGTTACTCTTGTAAGCCCAGTTAAATATATAATTATTAAAGCACACTCGCAACTTTAATGAAACTAAAAACAATTTTTTATTGATTTGCAAACACTTTTTAAAATAAAATTTTTTTTTTTTTTTTTGCTCTTTCACTTTCAAACAAGTCAAAAAAAGACTGCTAATCCCAGTTGTAAATGCCACAAATAATAAGCACAGTTTAAATGACAAATTGATAAAAAAAAAAAAATTTAAGCTGCTGCTTCTTCTTCTGCTGCTGCCTCTGATAAGCTTTTCGCTCAGCAGTCAAAAAAAAAAGCCGGAATTGAGTCGGATTCGGTTTTGGAGTAGTTTTCACTAGCCAAAAAGCGATTTGGCTTTAATCCGGCGACAAACCAGAAGAAGATAAGCTAACTGTATTTTGGCTCAAACAGGCAAAAGCCAAATAACGGTCTGTCTATATTTGTGTATTTGTTTCTTTTTTTGCCAGCCAGCCAAGAACAACAGCATTTTTATTCCACGCGCTGTTTTTTATTTATTTTTTTTTATTTTTTTTGGTTGGCTTTGAAAAACTTACCCGCTGTTTTTTTTTGTTTTTCTTTTTTTTTTGCTTTTCCACGAAAACGAAAAAATAACTGAAAAGGACGCCGAATTGACTTTTTTTCTTTTTGCTTTGCTTTGCTTTTTTGCCGGTTTTTAATTAAGCCAAATCCAATTATCAAGAATAATTATGCTTATTGAATTTTCGGCACAAATTTTTCTTTTAAAAAACTCACAACGCACGTTTTTTGTTGTTATTTTTATGCTTTAATTGGTCGCACTTGTTGTTGGTGTGGTTTGCTTCATTTATTTGTTATTTGTTGCACTTTATTCACACAATTGCATTTCATTCATTTAATCAAATCATTTCACGTCGTCGTCAGTCTTGTTTGCGCTTCTCTGATGCTAAATGTTTCGTATTCGATCATTCGTACAATTTTAAAATACACGCGAGACGCACACGTCCATTGGCGGCGACTGCGAGTCAAAAACTGAAACTCAATTTCACATCGAGAGCCAAGCAGCGGCAGCAGCCAAAGCAGCCAAATGTTGCCTGCTGCTACTGCACGCACAAACACGCACGTACACACACACACACACGCACGGACAGAGAGCTGCCTTTGCATGTTCAGACACGCTCGGCTCGCATGCAACATTTGCCGTATTGTGTTCATTTTAGCTACAGAAATGAACGCCAACACCTACGCTCTCAGAGAATAACTCTCGCTTTCGCTCTCTCTCTCTCTATGCGCTCTTTGGCAATGCACTACTGCTGGCCATTGAACAGTTGGGTTTGAGCGCTGCTTGATGAATGTTTGTTGTGTTTTGTGGCTGTCTCTTTGCTGACATTGGCGCAATTTTTGAACGTATTTTTACTTGTTTGATATTTGACAGTTTGCTAAACTGTTTTTTTATGCCCCCAAAAGTATTGTTTATTATTGTTTTTTATTATTATTTTGTATGTAGTTGGCTCGAATTACGCTAGCGCTATGTGTTTTTCGCACAAAAAAGCTGGTTTTAAATTAAAAAAAAAAGTATGCAGAGCTTTGACTTTGGCGGGTTTCCAATTTCCAGACATAAAAAACAAAAAAATATATATTCAATAAAATAAGAATTTGACTTTTTTGTACTTTTGCAGTATGTAAAAATTATGTTTTTGAGTTGCTGGCCAGCTGCAATTTCATTTTCATTTCCATTTTAGCCGAGGATTTTACAGTTATTTGCATATAGAACGCAGCTGTTTTTTGTTGTTGTGTGCTGCTTCTAACAAATCCCCAGACGGATTTCAGACTCAGACAGACAGCCAAAGCCAATGACGAATATGCAACACCAGCAACACCAGCAACAACAACAAGGACAGCATCCAGCATGCCACAATATGATGATGATCAAGGTCAATGTCTCCTTGCATTTTGCACTTTTCCAGCGCTTTATTTTTTGTTCAGTTGATGTTTTTCTTCTTCTTCTTCCGTTTTTGCAGCATGTCAAATTACAACTACAACGGGAAACCGGCAAAAGCAGCAACAGCAGCAGCAGCAGCAGTGGCCGCTCTCTTCGAAATTCGAACTTCGAAAATGAACATGCTCTCACTTCGGCGCACACTCAATTACGCTCTCTCACCACAGCTCTCTCGCTCTCTCGGGATGATGCTTAGCAACATGTTGCAAGGCGTTCATTGCATGTTGCTAAAACTGCATTTTGTGCTTTGTGTTTTTTTTTTCTCTCCCTTTACAATTTTTGTTTACGCATTTTTTTCGCACCTTTGCAGGGCGTTTTTTGAATAATTTTTTTTGTTGTTGTTGTCTTTGCTTGCATTTCCTTTTGTTGTTTACTTGCATTACTTTCACCTTCAGCAACAGCCCGTTTCCCATCCCCCCCTCAGCGCACTCTTCTTCTTCTTGCACTCTCTCTCTCTTTTTTACAGTTGTTTTGTTTATCAACAATTTTTTGATTGGCTCTGTTTATTTTCAATGCAATTTTATTCCCGCTCGCACTTGGGCCTAGTGTTGACAGCAGGGCTGGAGTGGGGGGTGGGAGGGTGAAAATTCTTAATAAATTGTTAAGCTGACGACAGCAACAACAAATGGCCTGCCACAACTTAGTCAGAGCAGCGAACACCCCCCTCCCCCTGCCTTCTTCTTGCCACACCCCCCTTGCCATACCGCTGCTGGGGTCCTACTAGCTGGGCCGAGGTTTGCGGTTTGCCTGAACTCATTAGGCGCGTCAAGTGAAATGCTTCTTGTTGTTGCTGCTGTTGTTCTTGCCACATGTAGAGCCTTTTTTGGGTGATGTGCCAGTGGGGTTGGGGAGGAGTGGGCAAGGGGCAGGGAGGCAAGCACCCGAAACACATTAGCAGCTCATTTCATGCAGCATGGCCGCAAATTAAAGGCGCATTAGTGGATCGCCTCCGCTAAAGGGGCAAGGGCGGAGGTTGGGCGTGGCAGCTGAAAACTTGCAACCGCAAGAGAAAACTAGAAGAAAAGATACACAAAACAAAAGAAACGAATGTGCAAATGTATCTGATAGTTACACAGACAAAAGATACAAAAATATATTTTATAATCAATCTGAATTATATAGATTTATCGATCTGAATTATATAGATTTAAGATACAATAATATCTAAAAGTTGCTTATCAATTTGAATTACAAATATTCAAAATTCAAAAATATACAAAACGTTCTTATTTATCTAATATACATACAGATAAGGTTAACCTGAATTACATAGATAAAAGATACTAAAATATTTAATTGGAATTACACAGATAAAAGATACGAAAATATCTGAAAATTGCTTATTAATCTGAACAAAACATGCAAATGCATTTCAAGCTAAACAAAGATACAAATGTAGCTAAAATACATTTAACTAAGTCGAGATACATTTTTTAAAGAACAAAATTCTAAATATACGAAAAATAAATGTCTTAAAATAAGAAAGACTTCGTTTCTATTTTCACAAAATTGTTAATAAATAAATGAAAATATTTTCGACAAGTAGAAATGCAAGCCTTTATTTAAAAATAAAAATCCTTTCTAAAATAACGCAGGAGTAAATATATAGCAGGATAATGAATTATGGTTACAAAAAAAGATAAAATAGTTTGCAATGATTCAGAGTTATACGAAAAACACAAAATTAAACATATTTTAAAGATGCAAAAAAGATAAATACTTCATACAAAACTAATTTATCAGAGAAGAATCAGAGAAGACCAAGAAGCCTTCAAAAATTATATCAATAACAATGAAATAGATTCAAGAATAAAGTTTGAACATAAATAAATCTCAGATAAAAAGATTTGAGTTGATAAATTATTTTATTTTTTATATTTAAGCTAAGCTATAAATTATAAAATAATATTGTAATTTACCAAAATTAATTTAATACAATTTGAATTTAAATTTAAATTCTTAGCAAAGCTTTCAATGTAAAATGAATTTTATCTTAAAGTATTAAAAGCGGTTTTTAAATGTGACAAATTTCAGCAATCTGAAATCATATCTAAATTTGAATGGTTGCTAGTAAAAAAGCAGATACAAATGTTGTTTGTTACTTGATGTGCACACACACACACACACACACACATACACACACACACACACACACACACACACACATACACACACACACACACACACACACACACACTTACACATAATATTTTGAGCGATATAAAGTTGTGTCTGACTGAAAGTTACAAATCTCGCTCGGTTGCCTAATTAGTCATCCAGTTGTCCTTTTCATGTGGCACCACAACCACACACACACACTCACACACACTAGCAACCCACACACACACACACACACACACACACACTCAAGCAGCTGAAGCAAACGTCGTGCTTTGCAGTTATAATAATTAATAATTCCAGGGATAATCCGCATGTTTGTCAAAGTGATATGACCCAAAAAATGTTTGCGAAACTCATACAAAATCACCTAGCAAAAGATACACACACACACACACTCGCACACACGCACACACACGCATAGATTGCTATATTCAAATCTAAATGTGTCTGTGTCGCCTGGCCTGGCCTGGCCCAAAAATAAGCCAAAGATTTTGGCCCGCTGGCAAACCCAACAAGAACAACAAAAACAACAATCAGAAATGCTCGCACATCTGCATAAATACTTATGAATACTCATGTTGTTGTTGTTGTTGTTGTTTTCAGGGGTTGGGCGTAGGGTGTAGGGGGTGAGGGGCACACACTTTCAAATACAAGGCTTTAATTGTATTTTCCACATACGAGAACAGAAGGCTCAAAGCGAAAACCAGTCTCAAAATGCATATGTAAAAGTATTTTATTGTTAACACGCACACAATTGAATAGTTGAATAAATAAATAAATAAATAAATATCTATATATATATATAATAAACCTATTATATTCGCCTTATTTTAGATCTCATTTTCAATTTAATTTCTCTCTTTTAATTTTATTTAATTTAATTTGTAGCTTTAATTTGAATTTGAAATTGAATTTTACATTTGCATTTATTAAAATCTTTTTCAAGAGTTAGTCCACATTAAATAACTAAATAGTGAAAAGAAAACTCCTCTGCAGTTTTAAATAATTATTTAATAATATTTATTTAATGTAATTTTCTTAACTAATTTATTAAGCTTATTTAATTTGTAATGTTATCAAAAATATTAAAATGCATCTGAAAAGTTACCATTTTTGTTAGTTAACTTACATTTGGGACTTTTCTACATTTAATTTTCAGTTTCATGTGAATTGAATATTGTCTGAATTTAAATTCAATTTCTCACAATTTTTACCCATTTTGCAATTCAACTCGCATTGAAGATTTGAAGTTTACTTTAGGCAACCTTAAGTTAAATAACTGCTCCAATTTCAATTGCATTTGTCATCATTTACAGCAAATAAAACACTCCTTCTCACTACTCCTCGCATGCCCAAACAAATCTCATCATTTATCTTATAAACACATATCTGATAAACACACACACACACATACACACACACACACACACCCCAAGAACCAAATATTATCTAAAAGTAATCGAGTTCAAGTTCA